GTTCATACATCGACTGAGCCAAATGTGCGTAATTTATTCTATTCTCAAATTGCAATGTATTTTATTTGCGCACGTTGTTCCCTGGGCGTTTAGTTTTTTGAGGCAAAGTTTACAGAAGAAATTATTCGATTTTCATATACACGTTCGAAGGTATGTATATGTTCAACAGTAAATATATCTCTTCTAATGTAATGTATCTCTTCTTCGTGGAATGTCCATTCAAGGTTTTCTAACATTTGATTATTTCCTCTCATGTAGTCCTTCCGACAGTTTGTTGTTGACGTTCTTGCTTAAACCAGTAAATTGTGTCATACGAACGCGGAACGCCACGACTTTATAGTCCGAATGTAAGTATATATTTTGCTGTTTGGTTATATGCTTTTACTGTATTGCTGTCTTGTCAGTTGACCTTTAATATTTTCCTTTAATAAACGAGAAATTTTAAACACAATAGTAGGCTTTCATGGCATGGACACAGCATGATGGATTTTTTTCAAAAGGGCATGTCTTAAAAACCGGTAAATATTGTAGCTCATACATTGCATTACAGTAAAATGGATTCTTAATCTGAGTATTATCATATTTTAACTGCATACATTCAACATGTTTGCTGCATATTATAGACTCGTTTTTGATCATAAACGTTGCTGTAACATGAGAACTATAGGGAAATTTGAATATATAAGGCGCTTAGTTTGAATAATTTTGTGTTTGTTTTTTCCAAGATGCTAAATAACGTACATAGCTGTTGTTATACAATCATTTATGAATTCGTTTCATTGAATCTTTTCCAACACAAAAACCAATAGCGTATTGGAAAATTTGCGCGACTTTTATATTTCAGAGCACGATCGAATCCGTTGAGTCAGTGAAGTGTCTGTTTCTAACATGCAAATTGTTTGCACTTTTAGAAAACGGCTGATGCGTCTGCAGGTAAAGATGGCCAAAATAAAGAGTGACTCGAGTCTGTTGCACGAAAGTATAACGTTCTTTTATGCCGGTTTTCCACTAGCGAATTTTTTCGTGCGAAACGACATTTATATGGTTAAAATTTAGAAGACTTTATCATAAGGTGATAAGTAATTTTACATAAGTTCCAGCTGACTGAGCAGAGAGCTCATAAGCCAAAAGAATATATAGTCTGTTCGCGCGACAAAATTCACTTTAGCTTCTATAATCTCTAGACTATATTACCTTTGTCCAAATATCGTTGTATTCTACCATCATAAATATCTATATCTTGGACTATTTTCTCCTTTATCTTTTATCTTTACGTAAATAATATTATATTATATTATATTATGATTTATGTATTTATATGTATGTATTTTTATGTATGAACGTTTCCCTGCAATAAATATATGTCGTTATATAAAAGTTGTATGAGTGCATTAATTGCTTGAATAAATTCACGTTTCATGAACGTTGTGAAAACGTTCTTTCTTACGTTGTCTTACTACGTTGTGACAACGTCCTCTGGAGTCGACAAAATCACGTCCAACGCACGTAAACTCACAACGTTTTTTTCACGTATAAGCGGCCGTTCTAAAAACGTTGTGAGGAAGTTCTTTTTACGCTACTGCCAACGTTGTGACAACATCCTCTGGAGTCGACAAAAACACGTCCAGCGCACGTAAAGAGACAACGTTTTACCAACGTAAGCTGCACGTTCTAAAAACGTTGTGAGGACGTTTTTGTGCTAGCTGGGATTATGTCGAGTAATGATGGACTTCACATTGTTCATGCATCTATAGCTGACCTTAACTGTGTTTCTGTTAAAAATTTTGTGAAGTTTGTGATGAGGTGGAAAATGTTTGTCAATGAGGCTGAGAAAATTGCGTCCTATATATATGTTGGTTTTGACACACTTACTGCCCGTTAACCAAACTTGATGCTGCGCATTGCCTATCTCTGCGTGGTTGTTGTCGTGTTTCTTTCGTGTGGCCTATAGTTTGTGATTGAAATTACTGTGACGTAGCGCATTTTGGTAAAGAGGAGCAGTCTCCTGAAATGTTTGCTCGTCTGATGAGAGAAGTGCATGAGATACACTTGTTTATGGATGTCGGTATAGTTGTTTTATGATGCTAGGTTGGTGATTTGAGTGTCTATCTATGTATAATGGATCGCATTGGGTTTCTTATTTTCCATTGCCGAGATCGAAAGTGACATCTACTGCGATCTTGTCTCTTACGGGACTATATGTGAGCCAATTTAGATTTTGGCTCACATAATCCTGCATGTAAGAGCGATAGTCACGTTAGAAAATGTATTCAAAAAGCCTAAAGAAAGACCACAGGAAATGCGAATAGAAGCTAATGTGTACAAATTCAAATGCGACTCGTGCTCATTCACATATTTACCATTGTTAGATTCAATCGAGTGCAACGAGATAAAGCATAAAAGGACTTGAACTATTCGAACACGGCCAAAAGTACTCTGAAGAAGGCTGCAGTTAGCCGAAAAATTAGTATGTTTTATTGAAGATTTTCAATAGATCAGTATAGATTTTCAATATATATATATATATATATATATATATATATATATATATATATATATATATATATATATATATATATATATATATATATATATATATACACATATAGGAGTGTGCAATGGCAATTTGGGTAAAGAGATCAGTCAGTATATTTTGGCTTTGGTGCTAAATCATTGTTGACGTTATACATTAACTTTGAAACTGATTCAAAATATAACATATTCACTGTTATTGTTAACACATATTGTGTTCAGTTTAAAGAAGGGGACAGCGTGATCTCGAATACATAGACATTTTACGGCATGCATCCCTGTACCCGCTGAATCAGTTTCAGTTCTTATGGCTTTACTTAATGAGTTTGCTGTGTCATCGCTATATATCCACCACTTGCTCCTGGTGGCCCATACACTGCCCCTTGAGGTTGATATTCTGGTGGGGGTTGGTTTGGGTATGGTTGAGGGTTTTGAAAATACATTGGTTGTCCTTGTTGTGCAGGGTATTGTTGTTGTTGCTGGGTTGCAAAGACTGTAGTTCCTGTGGTTGTAGGTTGTGTTACTACAACCTCACCATGAGCACGACGTGTCGAGGCTGCTGCCGCACCAGCTGCACAACAACAGCAAAACACGACAACTGCAATGGGTATAACGATAACAACAATAACACTGATAACAATCACTGCAACAATCCAACCAGCTAGACCTTTAATCACATAGCAATCTCCTGTATTACATTTGCCATCAGAGTCACAACATTCTCCAGTAGCACAGTCGCCACTGTAGCCACACGATTTTCCAATACAAGTTGTCGCACATTTCTTATCAGAACTACCACAGCAAGTTTCACCCGGCGCACAGTCGCCACTGAAGCTACACGATTCTCCGACACAAGTTGTCGCACATTTCTTATCAGAATAACAACAAGATTCACCCGTTGGACATTGGCGATTATACTCACACGATTTTCCAATACAAGTTGTGGCACATTTCTGATCAGAATCACAACAAGTTTGGCCCGTTGCACATTGGCTATCATAGTCACACGATTTTCCAGTACAAGTTGTGGCACATTTATTATCAGAATCACAACAAGTTTCGCCCGGTGCACAGTCGCCGTCAATAGTACAAGACTGACCAATGCAATTGTCCAAACATATATTGTCGTAACTGGGATATTTTCTTTCACAGCAATACTTTAAGTAACCACATCCAGAGTCAGAAGAGCACTCATTCGCTTCTACTTGGGAAAACACGGCGTAAAGAGCAAGAAATAAAACGCAGAAAACTGTTGTCGAACTTATGCACGCCATTATTTGCATTATAATGAACATCTGCTGTCAGTGCTGTCAGTGCTGTGAACCCTGTCGTTTGCATTCTTTTTTCGATTCTCATTCGTCGTCTCACATCATGTGGCCAAGTAGGATTTAAATATTTTAATTTCCTTTCTATTTTCTATTTAAAACTTTATTTAATTTTAACGACGCTAGCCCCATCAACAAAAGCTGGTCTCAATGGGGGTCGTGAGGGCGTCCATGCATATGAGAGATAGAGACCTTACGATTTTAGGACGGCAACGCGACGACGACGGGCCGACGGCAAAAAAAAACTCCTTGAAATAAACGGTAGTAAAGATAATTCGTCGTATGTTATCAAGCAGTCGCGCGTATGGTTTTATGGTTGGGAAGAGTTCTGCTGAACCCAGTTTGAAGTTGCTTGAAATGCAGCCGTTTTATCAAGACGTGAAAACATGCATGTGGATTTCGCGTTGTTGACTGAGCGAAGGACAATGTCTAAATTATTTATATATTGTTATTATTTAATTATTTAATTCTTTTCAATGATTTATTGTATTGGTAGCCGTTGCGTTGCCGTCCTAAATCGTAAGGTCTCTACCATACGATGTACAACAGCAACGTGACGATGACGGCTATTAATACAATGAAATTGATAATATTTAAGAAGCTATAAAGGGCATGGCGTTGTTCTCCAAAGCATCGAGCAGCGTGATAAATCAGATTGTCTTTTTGACCAGCATGAAGTACAAACATAGCCTTGGCAACAAGTGGGAGAAAATTTTGAGGGACAAATTTAGCATCTAAACCAGGGTTAATGCATGCAGCCATTTTTGAAACAGGTGGATGAGTAGTTGTTCTCGTTAGTCGTTGTCGCTGGGTTAGTTTTGAAAATCCAGAAGTCATCATATCAATAACATGACCAGAGAGGTGAACAAGATTTTGGTCACTTGATGGAGACAATCTTAACATCGGAGATCTTGCAGATGTAGAAGGTCTGTACAGATTGAAAGGACTGATATTACCTCCAAATTTAATGATGATGCTTAATTCTTGCAGACAAAATCATTGACAAAAATAGAATCCAGTCAAAATCTCAAATCTAAAACATCAGCCAAACAATAAATTTCACTTATAAAATATTGTTTGCGTTGTTTATGTATTTTAAGGCAAAGCTAATAAATAAATAAATAAATAAATAAATAAATGAAGGATATGAGCTGAGAGAAATATTTAACAGAAATACAATCAAGGTAAGCTATGGGTGCATGTCAAACATCAAGCAATATTGATTGACGGCCAAGATAAACCACCATTCCTAGGAAGTGGAAAATAATTTGAAATGAAAAATAAGTTCAAGGAAAGGGATTGGAGTAATTTTGATACTTGCCAAAATTCAAGCGAAAGTGTTGTACTATTAAATGATACGCTATGGTCAATGTTTGAGGATTGCTTCCTGTATTAGGATAGTCCGGCAAGGTGTCATCTCGTGATCCACCTCACATGTCACCTCTCGTAAAACACCTATGTAACATCAGGAACAAAAATAATCGCAAACATAATCATGCGAGTAACACTTTTATTCAAGAGAGAATTAACAAGCTAATTCGTGAAAATAAGTTAATGCTGTTAATGCGGAAAGTAAAAAAATTCGAAAAGGATCTAAAGGTTGGTGGGACGTTATCAATAATATAACTGTGAGGAAATGTCAAACAGCTCCAATTGATACTAGCCTATTATTAACCCAAGCACTATCAACGAATACTTTCAATCTATTAATACAGATCCTCATTATATAGTTCCACAGCCTCTTCCCATTCCGAGTGGCACTCTTTGCCCTAACAGCCCGAAAGCTCTAACATTCCTAGCGTGGACGAACATAAAGTAAAGACATATTTGATCTCACTCAAATCAACTGCTTCTGGTCCAGATCAGTTTCCTTATTGGTTGTGGAGTGATTATGCTGACTACCTGACACCTATCATCACAAAAGTGTTCAACTGCTCTCTAAGAGAGCAATCAGTTCCACTACTTTGGAAGCTTGCTAATGTGATTCCAATTCTCAAGGAATCACCATTAATGGAATCAAACCAGTTGCGTCCAATCTCATTGACTAATATCATTATGAGATTGTTTGAGAGATTGGTATACAAAGACAAATTGCCCTCTGTGTTTAAATCTGTAATCAAGTCCGATCAATTTTCTTGCAAAGAGGGCCACATGATTCTACCATGGCTTTACGTAAATGTCATCATAATTGGCTCAGTTGGCTTGATAAGAATATTGATTTTGTGCGGGTATTTGCATTTGGCTTCAGCAAGGCATTTGATATCTTACACAACATTTTATGTGAATCCCTATATCATAAACTGGATTATTAGTTTCCTTGGCGAGAGGAAGCAACGTGTGGTAGTAGACGGTATAACAACAGAGTTTGTATGTGTTATACTTTCGTATGTTATAATTTCATTTATTATTAGCATGACAAAATTACTGGATGCTGATTGGTTGAGAGGAGTACAATTATTTCATTAATTGTACTGCAGTACAATTAATGATTTTCCCAAAACAAACAAAATGGCGGAAAGGTATTTTAAGCACAAGTGTGAATTGAAATTGAGCAAGAGGAACTAGATGAAAATGCGAAAAAAAGCACCAAATTTTGCTTTAACAAAAGAACTAAATGGAAATGCTAACAAAAATACCAAATTTTGGTTGAGAGTCTGGCAGGACTGGGCTTTCGCGAGAGAATATGATGTTGACATTGATAAGTATCCAATTTTGTCATGCTAATAATAAACAGGTAATCATGCGATGTTGCTCGTACAATTAGGGATTTATAGTACTCGTGATGTTTGAAATTGTGAATCTAATAATGTGTAAGGATAAAGATCATGTAGCCCTACCTAACAAGTTCGTAAATCGGTTTATACTGACGATACAATTTAATAATATTTTCTCTGTTTAACAACTAAAATTTTGTTCTACTATATTGCCGTAATTTTCCGAATGGCCAACCCGGGTGTTAACCCCCCCCCCAATACCCCCTCGCTGCGGCCCTGAACCTGGTTGGAGCACTGGTATTACTCGGGAATGACGATTCAGTTGCAGTAATGCTGGTAGATGGATTGTCGTCAACACCTTCATTGAATGATGAAGAGATGGTCGAATATGTCGACGAATCCGCTTTAAAGTGCTATACCACTAGGCAAATCAAGAATAAATATTTTGCTGTTTGTTCTTTGTCCTTGACAACACCAGGTTCCAATTTGTGATTAAAGGGCCGAGTACACGAACATTATCACCTGGGTATACTTCTGGAAGATCCCTTGATGACTTGTCATAATAAAACTTTTGCAGAACTTGTCTTGCTTGCAATTTTGCATTATGTAGTTTCATCGTCTATCTATCTTCGGAAACAAAGTTGGTTTACACAAACTAGGAAGGTTGGATTGATAGGTTCTGGAATTCAATATTTCTGCAGGTGACGGCAGGTGATGGTTGACGGGTGTTGTTCGCACACAAAGCATAGCGAGATGTGGATCCGATCCGGACTCTTTGCATTTCTGTAACAAATTCTTCACCGCCTGCACGTTCCTTTCGATAAACCCGTTTGCTTGGGAATAGTAAGGACTGGTTGTAACTTGTTCGAAACCACATGCCTTACTAAATTCCGTGAACCCTGATGAAGTAAACTGAGTGTAATAACAGTGTTTGACCTGGATATTACGAAGCTTACGAATCAAAGGAAACTTGCTATAATAATCTGATACTTCTGATACCACAAGGTAAGACTTATTGTTCAAAAAAAAAAAGTCAGAGCCAAGTGTGTGCCATGGTTTAGGTGGAATGTCGTGAAGTGTAAGTGGTTCCTTTACATACGCACGTTGATTGTGTTGGCAAGGACTGCAACCCTTCAGCATGTTTTCTATATCAGCATTAATGCTTGCCCAGAATACGGAACATTTAGCCTGGAGCTTGCATTTTCTGCACCTTAGTGTGCACAATGAAGTTGCTCAAGGACTTCTGGCTGTAAACTTTTTGGTATGATGATACGGGTTCCTTTGAGAATTAATCCTTTAGCAACCGTGAGCTCATCGCGATAATTCGAGTAGCCGTGAAGATGTGATGGACAGTCCGATTTTTTATCGGGCCATTGGCAGTTTCTGTCTGGATATGCTGGGCTTTGGTTGGTTGGACTTGCGTTGAGGTGCATGTGTAACTCATGAATAGACACGTCAAGTCCTTTGATTGTATGTATGTATTGTGTCTGTATCACATGGGTTTAACCGAGTGCGTCGGCCAATGATATTTCTTTCCTCGGAACGTGCTTGATCTCTGCGTCATATTTCTGGATACGTAGCATCATCCTAGCAATGCGTGGTGGTGCACTGGATAGGTGTTTCTTGAAGATAGCCTCCTAGGGTTTGTGATCTGTCTCAATTGTAACATGCTGACCGTATGCATAGTAGTGAAATTTCTCTAAACCGTAAAACCAATACTAAGCATCTCTCGTTCAATATTTGAATAACGACGTTCTAATTCTGTCTCAGAGAGGAGTTTACTTCGATATTCCACAGGACCTTTACTTTGAAGCAATTTTTATTTATTTACTTTGCCCACATCATACATATACATTCATTGGCTGGGAAACCACAACAGCTATTGCCAATTACAGCGGCCCCAATAGTTATACAGAAACAATTTACATGGTAGTTAAAAATATCATTGCCCAGCAAATAACTCGTAAAAGAGGTATATTCATAAAACATATGGCATATAAAAAATATTTATTGAGTAACGTTTCGTCACATTACAAGTGACATCATCAGACTAAATACTAAATGCTATTTCATCTATTTTATAACAAATTTTGAAAAAATATATGATATACAATTACAAACGGTTAAAAAGTTAAAATTAGAAATATACAATGTTCATGGTATATTGACATGTACAAGATACTGAGAGTAATGAAGGCTACTACTAAAAAGCGATTCAACGATACAGCGATACAGGAACCGGAACCTGGAACCGGAACCTGGAACCGAGCATAATTTATGCAAATTAGAGCATTTTGCACCACAGGAGATATACATAATAATAATTTACAGGGGGGGGGGCGCAATTCAATGTATAAAATATTATATGCAAGGAATTTTACAACATCGTTGTAGCACTACATATTACGAAGTAAAACATGTTTCGTAATTGCGCGGGGATTCTTTTTGTCTATTTTGATATGACTGCATGTGATGCACTTAGTTTATTCAATGGTTTATTTATCCGCCGCACTTGACTATGAAATGCCAGCAGACAGAGGAGGAAACCACGGCACGCAAAGCGGATTGCGCTGTATTCACTAGCAGTAATTGTGCGCTATCCAGTAATCCAGCATTTGAATGTGCTATATACGCTGCCGAAATCCGAATACGCGAATATTGCGAATATGCTGCATACTAAAAATGTACGCTTGAACATCAATCACAAACATGAATGAACTAAAGTTATGAAGGTAATTTCAACGTCAAAAATACATTTAATAATGAAAAATTGAAATGTCTGATTGAAATTCAGTGTTGAAATTCACTTAGTCGTGTCTCTTTAATACCCTAAGTAATATAACCCCGAGTTGAGTCAGGTTTCCCCCTTTCCTGCATGGTCTAACATTATATTATATAATCCGTCCAAAGGCAACTATAAGTATAACAAAATATAAATCTATTGTATTGTTGTTATGCCTTCAACAGTACGTATAATGTGTACACCACTGTAGAGTTTAATAAACTTGTTTTTGTAACAGGCTACTCACAACTAACTGGATATACAATCTACTTTGCGTGCCGTGGTTTCCTTCTCTGTCTGCTGGCATTTCTGCTGAAATTGCGCCCCCCCCCCCTGTAAATTATTATCATGTATATCTCCTGTGGTGCAAAATGCTCTAATTTGCATAAATTATGATCGGTTCCAGGTTCCGGTTCCAGGTTCTGGTTCCTGTATCGCTGTATCGTTGTATCGCTGTATCGCTTTTTAGTAGTAGCCATTAATGAAAGATATAGATTAAAAAAGGAATGTCAAGTGGTTAGCGTCAGTGTTAAAAGATATTGTATTGTGTTGTATGTTAGTAAATTAACAAGAGGAAACACCTACTTAGAAGAGTGTTAACGGAAAGGATCGAACATTATTATTAAGCCATGGTTTAGTTTGAGCAATCAGTAAGCTTTCTTTAATAAGAATATCATGGTTAGAATTAGCATGGTTAGAAGTAACAATTTTAAAATCACTTGATTCAATTGGAAGACAGGCTTCTTCTTCTTCTTCTTCTTCTTCTTCTTCTTCTTCTTCTTCTTCTTCTTCTTCTTGCTTCTTCTTCTTTTTTCTCTTCTTCTCTTCTTCTTCGCAATAAAATTTTTAACTAGAATTCGATTTCCGCCTGGTATTTCTGTTGCTGATAATTTACAAGGTATACTAAACACACACAAACAATACTTGAACAACAGTCATTACAATTGTGTCTAAAAGCAGCATGTCAATGGAGAGTTCATTAACTTCGAGCGGAATTACATTTTATACACACACTTTTCCATGTGCGGGGATCCCCAACATCATATGTATTGTCTAATGCTAAAATATAGTACTTAAAAAGAAGATTCTTGAATTCTGAAAATATTCGGTCTTTGGATGTAATATGATTAGGTAGTGTGTTCCATATTCTTGATGTTCGGATTTTGTAAGATTTTTCATTGGTTGACGTCTTGTATGTCGGAATTTTATATTTGTCGCTCCTAAACCATGCATAGACGCATCCACTTGAATGGTGACTGTTTTGCTACCGTCAAAATACTGGAGGCTACCAGGGGAGGCGATGCGTTTCTTCACCTTATCTGCTGCCTGCTGGTGTTCAGGATTCCATTGCAACACATTGGCGCTCTTGGTATAAGATCCCATACGACTGCTGAAACAAAGGCTAGATTTGGAATGTACTGACCAAGATATTGAACCATTCCAAGGAAGGTCTGCAGATATGGGAGACTTGTAGAGGGATCCATATTTCTGATGGCTTCAATTTTTCGGGGGTCCAGCTTGAGACCAGTAGCACTAATGGTGTGGCCAAAGAATGATAATTCTGTACGTGCAATCTGGCACTTGTCTGGATTGAATCGGACGCCGGTTTCTTGTGCACGCTCCATGACTGCCTTCAGATTCTTGTCGTGGTCGTCACGGGTTTTGCCTGATATGACGATATCAACGGCTATCCCTGTTACCGGAAGATCACCAAAGGCTTCGTCAACCTTCTTCTGGAAATATCTTGAGCACATATTAGACCAAAAGGGAGCCTGAGAAAATGGTATCTGCCATGGGGAGAATTAAATGTAGTATACAAGGAACTTTGATAATCTAACTTAATATTCCAGTAACCACTTCTCGCATCAACAATTGAAAAATATTGGGCACCATTTAGCTTTGGGAGTATCTCATCAAGATAAATATTTAGAAGCGCTATAACATTTGGAGTTATTTGGTCTACATATCATTCAAAATTTGCTCTCATTGACTGTTTTAACTTAACATTAACTTTCAATGAAACTAAAAAATCGCGTCGCATTGTCGAATCGCGTCCGGTGTGTCTGGACCTTAATTCGTGTGTAACTTGAGTAAAATAAAACAAACTGCTGTTCTTTATTTTCTCGCGAACTCAACTAAGTGTACCTCAAGGACCTCAAGAATAACATAATATACACCCATTGTACACATCATGCGTAGCTACGCTCGCACGCTTTGTGCCAAGCACGAACTTCTGGGCGTACACTTCCTGCTTATTATTATCATTATAATGTTCAGGCTATTTCATTGACTGTTAAAACTGATGTCGTGATCAGCGAATCCGGTACAGTGTAAACGTGGCCTTGATCAATGCATACTATGATTGGTAAAGATAAATCGAATAGGCACTCTTGTAGAGAAGGGAGACATAAAAGACATGAAACAAGACTTCACCCTGATATTCCAAGTGAATTTGTTAATATTGACGGATATGATATAGTTCGCATGGATAGGGACAAACACGGTGACGGTGTCTGTTTTTACATTAGGCGGAATGTTTAGAAATTAACCGACCAACTCTCGTTCCTTTATCGTTTCTACTATTTATCGTCCGCCGTCAGCAACCGTCGAATCTTTCTCACAAATTGAATCTTTGCTTAAGAATGTCGATAACGAGAATAAGGAAATTTACTTATTAGGAGATCTAAACTGTAATCTGTTAGACCAGTCCAACTCTTCTAATAAACACTTACATTCTATCATGCAACTTTATCAACTTACACAAGTAATCGATAAGCCTACAAGGATTACGGAATCGTCTTCTACGTTACTAGACGTTTGTATTACCTCCTGTCCTGAGCGAATTGCATTTCATGATGTAATTCATATGGGAGTGAGTGATCATAGTTTAATTTATGTAATAAGAAAAATTAATTCATATCTTAAACCTCACGCTAGCAAAAAAGTCGAATTTCGAAGCTTCAAGCATTTCAATGTTGAGAATTTCAAAGTCGACCTTATAAACTTACCGTGGTATTTAGTTGACAGAGAAACCGATATTGATAATAAATGGGCATGTTGGAGAAATCTTTTTATAACTGTTCTTGATAAACATGCCCCGGTTAGGGAAAGACGGGTACGAAATAAAACATCTGTGGCATGGATTACTAGGGATATCAGAAACAAAATGTTTGAAAGGGACCGTTTGAAAAGAAAAGCAATTTTGTCGGATTTAAGTGAAGATTGGAGCCAGTATAAACATTATAGGAATAATGTCAACATTGCAATGCGTGAAGCTAAGAAAGTTTACTACAAAAGCAAATTTGACAAACATCAAAACAATCCTAAACAGGCTTGGAGGACGATTAATGATATCCTTGGGAGAAAAAAGAAGGACACAATGATTAACGAATTAAAGCTAGGAAATGATACAATTACTTCTCTTGTGAGAATGGCTAATTGTCTTAATGACTATTTTACAAGTATTGGTGGTAAAATTGGAGACTCCTGCTCTGAACACACTCAGAATTTAAATTTTGGCAGGCATACGAGTGATAATATATCTAAATAATAGTTTGGAATTTACTTTGCATCCTGTTAACGAATCACAGGTTTTTAGGCTACTTAACAATTTGTCTATTTCTAAATCTACTGGATGTGACAAAATACCGGCTAAAATTCTAAAAAAATCTGCTTCTGTAATTACACCCTCTTTGACCAATTTGTTTAACTCTGCTATTGGGATGGGAATTTTCCCCTCTGAATGGAAAATTGCTAGAGTTATACCGCTTCATAAGAAGGGTTCACGCTCCGTTTTAGACAATTATAGGCCAATATCAATTTTGCCGGTCATCAGCAAAATATTTGAAAAGATCTTGTATGAGCAGTTATACGAATATTTAATTTACCACCAATAATTTATTGTCTGAACAGCAGTTTGGGTTCAGGCGCTTTCATTCCACGTCCACTGCTTTGCTTGATTGTACTGATGAGTGGTATGTTAATATGGATCGTGGTTTGTGTAATCTTGCCGTTTTTCTCGATTTAAAAAAGCATTTGACACGGTAAACCACGACATTTTACTGGCTAAACTAGAGTTATATGGTATTAAGAACACGCCTCTTATGCTTCTCAAATTGTACTTATCAGATCGATCTCAGAAATGTCAAGTAAATGGGGAACTTTCCACACTAAAATATCTAAAATATGGCGTTCCTCAGGGTTCAATTTTGGGTTCACTTCTGTTTTTAATTTATATCAATGATTTGCCGAATTGTTTACAACACTCTACAGCACGCATGTTCGCCGACGATACTAACATTACAGTGTCCGGTAAATCAATTAAGGAAGCTGAGGTGGCCGTTAATGTCGATCTCAATAATATCAGAGAATGGCTTCTATCGAACAGGCTCTCTCTTAACCTTGTCAAAACGGAATATCTTTTGATTGGATCACGCCACAATATTAACACGTTAGAAGAACAACCGCGTGTTTTTATTGGAGATGAACCAATTAAAGGGGTTCAAGTTACAAAAACTCTTGGAGTCAAAATTGATCAATTTTTAACTTGGGACAGTCATATTGACCAAATTTCTAAAAAAATATCTTCTGGAATAAGTGCCATGAAAAAGATAAAGGATTTCACTAATTCTGATACTTTGAAGTCGGTCTATTATGGTCTTGTCCAACCCCATTTCGACTACTGTTGTGAAGTTTGGAATTCCATTAATAGAGGCCAGTCTGAACGACTACAAAAACTTCACAACAGATGTGCTAGAATTATAATGAACTTTAAAGATGAGCCTGGGCAATCTCAACTGGCCCTCGATCAATTAGGGTGGATAAGCTTGGAAGAAAGGCGAAAACATAATATGGCCGGCCCGTCTCATGTTTAAGGTTGTCAATAATTTGGCACCATCGAGGTTCTCATCAATGTTCCAGAATTCTAACCATATCCACAGTTATAATTTACGAGGTTCAAATTCGTCTCTCTTTCTGCCACGACCAAATACCGAGTATGGCAGAAAATGTTTTCGATATAGTGGGGTTAAAATCTGGAATAGCATTCCTGAACAAGTAAGAAACAGCGAATCTTTAAATTCTTTCAATAGAAATATTTCCTCTGTTAGTCTGACGAATTAGCTATTTGAATTTTGTATGCCATTTGTTTTGTAATATGTATTTGTATTCGTAGTTCTTAATATTCTTAGTGACGTGATTTTGTATTTTATATATTTTTGTAACATTTATCTACGCCCCACTTGGAAAGCAGCTATGGTTGAAGTGGCCAGCGTAGTCAAATAAAGTTTTGTCCTATCCTATCCTGTTTATCGAGAGTGGGGGATATTTATTTTCAGAAAAGTGTACACCACACACGTTTGATTTGTTCACATGTTAATGCCCTGTCACACTATTGCATATGAGAAAAATAGGTACGCAGTGCGTACATGTTGCATGCCATCTGAAACTTATGATGCGCTATAGCCTATAGCGCTTATAACCTTTGGTACAACTGGCGTGAAACTTAAAATATTGATTCAATAAGTTTAATATCAATATATTTATTGAAAATAGCTACAATATATAAAAGGACCTTTAGCAAATAGGTGACGGCAACGCGACGACGACGGCCAAAACAAACTCGTTCAAATAAGTAACTTTAAGAACATGTTTGGTATTATCCGTTGTATGAAGTTATTGCAGTTTAAGAAGGTTAAGACAGAGGTTTATAGTTGAGGCTTCTACTAAGCCAATTTGCCGAGGACGACTTCTCGATGCTTGAAAGGCAGACGTTGTATACAAAACGTAGTCTAGGACCTGTATATGAGTTTGTATGCGTTTCATTTAGCACAGGTAATCTCAATTGTTTTAGGGTAAAATGACCATGGCGGTCAACATGGCATATGTGCCAAAAGCTGAATCCGGGACGAAAGTCCTGAAAATGACCCCGCCCTGAAACGGCAGTGTCGACATAGCTCTAACTTCAGAAAACAAAAAGCGATAGTCTTTCTGAAGTGCTTATAGTGTTTAGAAGGGTTGCTTTTAGGGTGGTCATTGGAAGAAAAAATTTGTCTAAGTATAATATTTTACAAGAAAATGACCATACACCACCCCAGGTAAATTGCTAATTATGCATAAAATAACTAATATGCCTGGCAGAAATTAAATATTCTTATTTCCTAAAAAAAATTATCATGGGGTTAAAAGCTATGCTTAATTTAATATAAATATTGTTGATTTCATAAGGATTGTCATTGTTTTCTTTAAATATAATACATTTTATTTCACTTACCCCCCACGAAAACATGATTTCAGCCATATTTTGCCGTCTTGTTTGCTTTTTATCGCCGAATCTCGCAAATATCATCCAGTTATTGTACTTTTACATAATCATAAATGGCTGAAGAAGATTTCAAAGAAGGTTTCATCCACTTTTGAAACAGTGCAGTGTATTTTATCTTCGATAATGTGTCCTTCGATATCTCGTCAAATTGCCGCCATTTTATTGGCTCGCCGCTTCTCTGCCCGATAAATGCCACTTCTTCGTTTTCATATGTATTTAGATTACATTATCCAAGAGTACTTCATTGTAGAATAGTCCCAATCCAAAAATTGGAAATATTTTTTATACTTGGGAGGAAAAAACCTCCCAGTACAATTGTCCTGTTAGAATTCAAAAGAAATAATTTAAAAGTCACGCGCAAGTTCGCGAAAACACCTCGTGGGTTACATAACCCACGTGAAATCGTTTTTTCCACAGATGGTTTCACATATGAATAGACCATAATTTTAATATTTTTAATATTTTTAAATTTGAACTCTATAACTTTTTCAACTGAAGTTATGAATAATTTTATGCATCTAGATATTCTATTGTAGTATAATGAGACTTTTTACTGATGTAATTTAACCTAATAGGTTACAAATCGGTATTTTTATTAAATTATTATTAAATTATTATTAACAGGGGGGTGAATATTTTCACGAAACGTTTGTTTGCCACCACAGGCCAGTGGCGTGCTGGCAGGGGGGGCCGGGGGGCCACGGCCGCCCCCCCCAGCTGGCAATTCTTGGGCGGCGCAAAAATGAAAATGGGGCGCCGAATTTTGAAAGTGGGTTGGAAAAAACGCATTCTCGAAAAAATATCGTTACTTCCGCCAAGAAAAGACGTGTTTATAGGCTACAGTTTAAAAAAGACTAAGCACATAGGCGCCATATATTAAATTACAGACTATTTTGCCTGACCGTATTTGCTACCTCACAGCTCACACGAAATCGCTCATATAGAAACATGATCAGTGATCGCAGGCAATGTCTCATTACCGGAATATTGGTCAGGTTTCGATCGAAGCGATCACGGGAATTATGCCCTTTTTTGCTGGTATTATGCCCTTATATTATGCCCTTTATTATGCTTCACGAATCACGAGAGCGGCGCAAATTAGATAGTTGAAGTTATGATAACTGATGTAAAGTTGTGTACGCAATTTAGTTGTAATGAAATAATGCTGAAACATGCCCTTTTGGCAGCCAGGCGAGGAAACCTTAAAATGCATATGCGTGGGGTGCGTGTGTTATTGTATAAAAGAGCTTTAAGTTGTAAATGTGCTCAGAACAGTGGATCTGTAGAGAACAGAATTGGGATTAGATTAATCGCTGGAAGTAGTTAGCATTGCATAATTTAAGTACTACTACTAAATTCTAACCAAATTGCAAATTTCGACACGTTATAATGCCGTTTCCTGACCATCAGATTTCTGTCAAATATTCCCCCAAAGTCCAGGAAATGGCATTTCAGAGACTCTAAATTCAAAAATTTTCCTGGGGGGCATGCCCCCGGACCCCCCTAGACAAACCTCGCACCTGCGGCACTCGGCTCGTGCTTTCGGCCCTCGTTTATCAAGTGTAACATTATAGGGGCGCATATTGGTTGACAGCCCACTGGCCCCTCCAGAAAAATAGTACCCAGCACGCCACTGCCACAGGCCACAGCAACCTAAGTTGGGTACATTATATTTATTTTACAAGTTTGTCATTGCAATAGATCTATATAGAGTACTATGGTTACAAATGACTGGAATTTCCACACAGAGATAGTTCTCCAATAACGGGGTTCCAAAAAAGAACAACTAATGGTATATCTAATTATTTTGAAGTTAAAGCAAACATAACAATTAAACACAAATAAAGCAAACGTATTGACGAACAAACGAACAAAAACTAAATTTAGCAACATGTTCGAGTTGATAAGTTCATTAGTGGGCGAGTGGTGTGACATTTAATACACACAGACTTAAATGTTCTTGGGTCTTCAGGGTCATAAATTTGTTGGGTTAATTCTACGTAGTATTTCATTAGATTACATTTAAATGTAGTTAGAGATGTGGTGGTATTTCTTATGAAGCCGGGAAGCGTGTTCCATACATTAGCAGCTCTGATGTAAAAGCTGTTTTGAAAAGAAACAGTTTTACTTTTGGTTACATGAAGTAGGATGCCGTTAGTTGAACTAGTATTTCTTGTTTCTCGTGTAGGGATCTTTATAGATATGTTATTGTCAGAGTTATTTATAAGGCATTTGTGAAGATACACCATATCTAAATACTCATGCCAGTAACATAGAGGGAGGATTTCGATGGTAGCCAATCGTTTCTTATACGGGATAGATGTTTTGTACGGGAGCGAAAGAATAAATTTTGATGCACGTCGCTGCAACCGTTCGATCGTTAGGATGTTGTTGACAGTTTGGGGTGCCCACACTTGACTACTGTAAGCTAGCTGGCTTCGAACGATGGTCAAGTACAGTATCTTTCGAACTCTTTTATCGTGAATGCCGAACGCTGTTCTCTTGACAAAACCCAGCATTTTGTTAGCTTTTGAGGATAAGTCTTGCACGTGCTGGTTCCACTTCATATCTTTGGTGATACTTACGCCAAGATCTTTTACACAGGTTAAAGGTTTGACTGGGATGTCAGCTAATGTGTACTGGTTGATAGTAGGTTGGAGACAACGAGTAAATTGAAGAACTCCGCACTTGGATTTATTTAAATCCATCCTCCAGTCTTGACACCAGTTCGTAATATTGTTAAGATCTGACTGTAGGATTTCTCTGTCTTGGGGGTTACGAACAGCGCGATGACATTTAGTATCATCAGCAAACATTGACACGGCAGTATCTTGGGAGACGCTATCGGGAAGATCGTTTACGTAGATAAGAAAGAGGATTTATTGTATATTTGTGGAGAGAGGATTTATTGAAATTATTGAGGATTTATTTATTTATTTAAGAGGATTTATTGTATATTTGTGATTTTTGATAAAAACAATAAATATTTGCGTATATTTATCATCAATTATAAAAATACAAAAAATATAATACATTTAGTTAGGTTGCTGTGGTGGCGAACAAACGTTTCGTGAAAATATTCACCCCCCCCTGTTATGTAACCCACGAGGTGTTTTCGCGAACTTGCGCGTGACTTTTAAATTATTTCTTTTGAATTCTAACAGGACAATTGTATTGGGAGGTTTTTTCCTCCCAAGTACAAATAATACTTCCAATTTTTGGATTGGGACTATTCTACAATGAAGTACTCTTGGATAATGTAATCTAAATACATATGAAAACGAAGAAGTGGCATTTATCGGGCAGAGAAGCGGCGAGCCATTAAAATGGCGGCAATTTGACGAGATATCGAAGGACACATTATCGAAGATAAATTACACTGCACTGTTTCAAAAGTGGATGAAACCTTCTTTGAAATCATCTTCAGCCATTTATGATTATGTAAAAGTACAATAACTGGATGATATTTGCGTGATTCGGCGATAAAAAGCAAACAAGACGGCAAAATATGGCTGAAATCGCGTTTTCGTGGGGGGTAAGTGAAATAAAATTTATTATATTTAAAGAAAACAATGGCAATCCTTATGAAATCAACAATATTTACATTAAATTAAGCATAGTTTTTAACCCCATGATAATTTTTTTAGGAAATAAGAATATTTAATTTCTGCCAGGCATATTAGTTATTTTATGCATAATCAGCAATTTACCTGGGGTGGTGCATAGTCATTTTCTTGTAAAATATTATACTTAGACAAATTTTTCTTCCAATGACCACCCCTAAAGCAACCCTTCTAAACACTATAAGCACTTCAGAAAGACTATCACTTTTTGTTTTCTGAAGTTAGAGCTATGTCGACACTGCCGTTTCAGGGCGGGGTCATTTTCAGGACTTTCGTCTCGGATTCAGCTTTTGGCACATATGCCATGTTGACCGCCATGGTCATTTTACCCTAAAACAGTTGAGATTACCTGTGCTAAATGAAATGCATACAAACTCATATACAGGTCCTAGACTAACATGAAAAGCTTTGGTTTGCTGTTGTAAACAGAGGAAGGACGACGTCTAAAACTCCCAAGGGACCTTTAATTATGCATTTTCTTTCTACACTGTCATAAATTTTATTGTATTAATAGCCGCTTCGCCGTCCTGCTAGCTAAAGGGTGATCGCTAGATAGTATACTTCAAAATAAGGTTTCCGTTTTTATAACGTAGAAAAAACTATCCTAACGCAAAACTAAGCCCTAACCCTAATACTCACCCTAACCCTAACCTAACCCTAACCTAAACCCTAACCTAACCCTAACCTAACCCTAACTTATTTTAATTATTTAAAAAATTGATATAAAACGGAAACCTTATTTTGAAGTATACTATCTAGCAATTGCCCTAGCTAAAGGTCCCTATAATCAGTGCGAGCACAATGGCTCCGTTTCAGTTTGAGTATATAAAAATCGACTATTTTGATAGCGTTCAATGGGCTTTGAGGCTTTCATGATATATAAAATATATATTAAACGCCTCATAATTGATAAATAATCAGTGCGAGCACAACGGCTGCAAAATCACAACAAATAACAAAATACAAGGTAAGTTAAAAACAGTAAAGCTTTACCTACCTCGGTTTATTTTCAGTAAGGCGCTCAATTATGTAAATTTTCGGCGAATAATCAGTATTTCTTTGCGTTTCCTCGACGAAAACCCGGCATTAGTGATGGGCGATTACCGATTACTTGGTATCGATACCACCCGATACCAGGCCCAAACAGGAAGTAGTCGATACTGCACGGTATCGAAAAAGTGTTTCGATTACTTTTAAAATTAGACATTCGTTATAATCCTGTAGTTGTGTCATCGTTTTCATGGTTATTTCTAATAAAATTTATGTACTTTTTTGTATTTTGCTACATTTATCAATTTAATCAAACTTCCTATATACTTTATTTGACATTCTATCCTGGCCGACAGAATAAATTATGAAAAAGGCGGGAAATAAAGTAATTTTTGTTTTTTTATGGATAAAAATGGCGGATCAAATTCTTACTGTTAAAAATATGTAACTTTCTGAAAATATATTGTTACTGTTACAGTAGAAGGCTACTTCTTTAAAAGTCCGCTCTTTATTAAGTGACTTACATTAATTATTTTGAAAATTGGAGGAAGTAATCGTTTGGGTAATCGATACCTCGATACTTTAATCAAAAAGTAATCGGTATCGTATCGAAACCGATACTGGTGGTATCGCCCATCACTACCCGGCATGAATTTGCTCGTCGGAAAAACTCGGTATTTGCCGTACACTCGTACTTTACGAATCTACCACGTGATTTACGACCGGTACGCACACTGAACACGACGACACGAAATTTAGAGCTATATGAAAGTTGCATGTGGCATGCAACAAAAACGTATGGGAAGCGTATGAAAATTAATGAAATAATTTTCATACGCACAAAAATCCTTGAATCCTTTGTATTCAGCGTGTGCCTAGGGTATGCTTATCGTATAAAGCATACGTCCGAATACGCACAAAATTTTTGAACATGCTTAAAAAAAATTTTCTGCCTCGGCGTATGCCACCGTATACAACCTATGTCTAACGTACCCTAGCGTATGTCAGCGTATACCGGCGTATGAGTGATATTTTTCATACGCTGGCATATGCTAGCACGATACGCAATAGTGTGACAGGGCCTTTAGGGGTATTGACTCTTAGCGAAACTTGATCGATGGATACTATAAATATATATATATATATATATATATATATATATATATATATATATATATATATATATATATATATATATATATATATATATATATATAAAGCTAAATCGAGTGTTTCGTTTAATTCTGTTTAATAGTATATTTGGTGGCTCTTGAAAGAGCCGGGGTTTTTTTGTATGTCTTTTATGTCTCCCTTCTCTACAAGAGACGTATCAAAATCCAACACATATTGTGCGGCTAATGATTCCTCTTGGTAGACTGGCAGTCTTGCTCACTTGGCGGCGATTCCATGGCGTGTTTTGCCTGAAACTCCAAAAGCAGCCCCAAATCTCGCTCCGCGACAAACGCCATGAAGTCTTCATGGGTGGCCAATTTATCTTCTCGCTTTAATTCGTCTTCTATATTCACGCATGCGTAACACTTCCTGCATAATGTATATTAAATACATTTAGAACACATGTACAATACAATTACGCAATACTCATACATGTACAATACAATTACGCAATACAGGGTGTCCCCCAAAAAATACCCTCTATAGAAATTTATCCTATTGTTGTTAAGCACAGGATTTTATGCGACTGGTAACTAAAAATTCAATTCAATTGTGTTTACGCACTCTTGTGTTCAGCATAGTGCTCAGGCATTCAAATTATAACAATAGGATAATTTCTATAGAGGGTACTTTTTTGGGGACACCCTGTACAATTTAACCGGATACCCACAGTTGAACGTGCATACCCCTGACTCTTCCACAGTCCCTAACACTGCTTCTAACGCAATGCGGGAATAGTTGAACGTGCATACTTAATAATTGAGCGGGTATTTCGGGTTATGATGTCATTGATGGTATGACGTCATTGGCGGCATCCCTTTGAACGCTGGATGGCGGGGGGGGGGGGGTACCTACATGCGAAGTTTCATCCGGTGCAACTCTGCTTGTCGTCGACTCCCATATCTGCTTTCGAGGGCTGCTACCAAGGGAGGATAATGGTTTCGATGCTCTGGTGACAAGTTCGATAAGACAGTGAGGGCAAGAAAAGCGGCCTTTTCCCCTTCAGACCACCGATTAATGCCGGCTACTATCTTGAATTGCGTACGATATGAGTCCCAGGGTATCCGACCATCAAACGTCGCAGGCTTTTGAATAGGCCGAGTGGCTCCAAGTTGGGGTTGAGGGATGATCGTTATCTCCGTGGTCTGCGCGATGGGTGTAGTAACTGGCATAAATAGACGACTCGTTGCCGACTGCTGAACTGTTGAAGGAACGGCTGTGGAATACAAATGTTGCACAGGGACAGAAGTTGCAATCCTAGACGGGGAGGGTGCTTTCGCCGTATTCACTACTGTGCAATCGTGTTCGGGGCTTCTGAAGGCAATTGTAGCTTGACTTTTGCCATCACTTGTTGAAATCTTCCGTTTTATTTCAGATCTTTCCAGTCGTTCTCGCGTAGATTTTTTTTCATGTAGAATTTCAGTCGGGAATTCTTCGAAGGCCGTCGAAAATTCGCCACGCAACTCTGTCTTGATTATTTCTTGGCTGGAGGCTAGTATACCAGCGTGAACAGCGACTAACCGCTCTTGATTTAACTTGTTTGTGGTTTCCAGCTGTCCGATTTTTGCATGTAAATCAAAGTTCTGTTCGAGTTCATTATTCTTGTCACACAACCGAGAGAAATTCAGAGATAATCGCTTCAATTCGCCGGTTAATTCGAACAACTGTCGGTCATGTGTCTCTTTATAATCCATCATCAAAACTCGTTGCTCGTTAACTGTTTTCAAAATCTCTCGCTGAAAATAGCTATCTCCCCGTGACGCCTCTTGCCCCCTACTGGCTTCAAGTAATTCTTCTTGCAACAATATATCTTGATGACCAAGTTGATCTGCAGACGAGACATTTTGCCCATCGTCTCGAATTTCCAAATTTTCATCGTTTCGCTCGAGCGGTTCTTTCATAGCAGCTCTTGCTCTGGTTTCCGTTGGCATATTTGTCAATACCGTCGAAGTTGTTTGCCAAACAACTCCGTGTAGTCCTGGCGGGGTCGCCAATGTTATAAATTTGCTCTCAATAGTGAATACTCTCAATAAGACAAGCGATCAAACGTTTTGTTAGGTTCTATATATATTTTCACAACAACAACAAGTACACGAAAACAGCGTCTTTCATAGCATAACTTTTTACGAATTTACATATATAATACAATATAGGGTTAATAAAGTCTTTGTGCAGGGCTTAGTCCATTACAATACCTTTTAGCCACCGCGGTGTGGGCTATAAAGGGTACCAGATTTCAGTATACCTTTTAGCCACCATAGGCGTACGAAACAGGGGGGCAGGCAGGGGGGGGCACCCGCCCCAATTTTGGAAAACTATGGAAATTCGGGCAAACGCTAGGAAAAATCAAGAGAATTCGGGCAGATGCATCAGAAAATACGTTAAAATCAGGTTATTTCATTACAATTCTCCATAAAAATTCGGGCAAACTTTCAACTGCCCCCCTGGAAAACATCAGCCCCCGTTTTCCTATGTTAGCCACGTCGGTATAAAGGATACCAGATTTCAGTATACCTTCAGTTAACGAAGGCGGTCTGTGGCTATAAAGATACCAGATTTCAGGGTTTGAACATTTCGTGTCTCTTCAACTTTGGGTGGTGAAGTTGGAACACTGGTATCAGTGACGATTCAGTTGCAGTAATGCTGGTAGATGGGTTGTCGTCAACACCTTCATTGGATGATTCAACAGATGGTCGAATATGTCGACGATTCCGCTTTAAAGTGCTACCACTAGGCATATCAAGAATATATGATTTTGGTGTTTGTTCTTTGTCCTTGACAACACCAGGTTCCCATTTGTGATTAAAGGGTCGAGTACACGAACATTATCACCTAGGTATACTTCTGGAAGATCCCTTGATGATTTGTCATAATAAAACGTTTTCAGATCTTGTCTTGCTTGCAATTTTGCATTATGTAGTTTCATCGTCTACCTTTGGAAACAAAGTTGGTTTAGACAAACTAGGAAGGTTGAATTGATAGGTTCTGGAATTCAACATTTCTGCAGGTGCCGGCAGGTGATGGGTGTTGTTCGCAGACAAAGCATAGCGAGATGTGGATCCGACTCTTTGCATTTCTGTAACAAATTCTTCACCGTCTGCACGTTCCTTTCGATAAACCCGTTTGCCTGCGAATAGTAAGGACTGGTTGTAACATGTTCGAAACCATATGCCCAGGGGCGTAGGAACCGGGGGGGAGGGCAGAAGTAGCTAATAAAGGCCGATCCTAAGACATTTTGGTTAATACTTCATGTAAGGCAAATTATAATGGATCCGGGCAAGTATGGGCACGCCTAGAATCGCCTTCCCGGAATTCCACCTTCCCGAAATAGAATCGACAGCGCCACTTCCGGTTTCCCAGTTCCCTGCGCCGCCCATGCCTGCCGGACCCCTCCCCCGCCCTCGCCCATGCCTGCCCGCGCACACGCAGGTACGCAAGTGTACACTTGCGTGCTCCGACAATTTTGCCACAAATTCCCGCGGGTGTTGACCCGATGAATTCGGTCCTCCGCGGGCCCACCGCATCCGCCGCATCCCGCACGCTTGTTGGGGTTTTCGGTGGAGATTTTTTTTGTTCGGATCAACTTGTAAGCAATTATAATTGTTTAATAAATAACCATGTCAATTACCAAAGTACAGGACTCCCCCGTAGACTCGTTTGACTTTGAGGAACCTGTCGTAAACAGATTTGGGTCTGAAATCATTAGACTTGTGGGGGAAGATGGAGGACCCATACTCCTCCGGCTGAAGGACTGCTTGGCTTACGGGATCAATAAAGACAAGAAGTTTGGGAAAGATAACCTCACCATCCAATTGGCGGTTGGAGGCCACAAGGACTTCATATCAGACTTGGAGATAATAGAGAGGAGATGTGCCGAAGAGGTTGGAAAACCCGGAACGAAAGTCATGAGATGCTTTTACCGGAGTGGGAAACTACTTGTTCTATTCGCTAAAATTGACAGTACCACGGTGATGTATAAGGATGGGGGAGGGGATATAGATCCCATGAAACCCATTGACAAGCATTTTTACTTGGACGCCCTGGTTAGGTTCCCAAGCATATTTGTGTCTGGGGATATGGTATCCGTACAGGTATTACTTCAGGAGGGGGTGTATCTGAGGGAAAGGAAGCCGGAGCCCTGGAAGAGGCTTTTGCGTCCAACTAGATGAGTACCCGATATTAAAATCAGTTTGTTGGGATTTCTATTGCCTTAGGTCCTTGTGTCCTATTGCCATTGTGTGTATTCCGTCTTCGCAGATGATGCGTTTATCGTCGCTTGCCGATAGGGCCACCTTGACGATCCTCTCCGTGTATATTTCGTGCAGTCTGCTTCTGAAGACGTTCATTCCCCTCCACTGTTTTTCACCGCTGAAGAGGCATTCCTTATAGTTGTCGAACGTTATTTTTTTTCTAATGGTTGTCTTCTTGACGCCTTTACATTTCTTTTCCTCCTTTCCGTCTTCCGCCATTTTGTAGGCGTACAGTTTCGCCCTGAGTCCTACGAATTCTTCTATCTGTTTTTCTCCTGTTTCCGATTTCATTATTCCGATAACCTTCTTGTTTATTCCGGTCGGAATTCCGGAGGGGTGGTTTTTGCCGATGTTGCTGGTATCGAATTTTTCGTGAACATCCTTGGAAATGTCCTTGTAGAAGTCCTCGGTGGTGATTTCGTAACACAGGGAGTCCGTGTCTGTGAATAGGAGTTCGGCATCGTTTTCATACATCGGTTTGATGTAGTTATAATGAAAGTAGTACATGAGGGTTTTGCTAATGTCCAGGATACTCATTCCGAGGTAGATGGGTTTTTCAGCTTTACGGAGGTTCTCCTCATATGAACTGCCACCAGGTTTCCCGAAAAGATGGTTACCGACTTGAAGTTGTGTTTCTTGGATAGCTTGTTCCATTTCTTTTCATCGTTGACGATTCTGATGTCGACTCTGTTCCTTACGTTTTCCATGGTCTTTCCGAATACGGAGTTGTTCATGAGCTTGAAGAAGTCCTTTTCGAAGTCTGTGGTTCCTTTGGTTCGGAGGTCTGTGTTGAGCTGAATGTATTTTTTCATCCAGTCGCTTTCGGTAAATTTAACTCCTCGATGTATTTTGGTTAGCTTTAACCCCAGGCTCAGGTACTGTTTTAGGTTTGTGTGGTGGAGGACGTATTTTTCCCTGTTGTTGAGGTTGGGTATGAGCTTTTCCGTTTTGTTGACCATTATCCTTTCTGGTGCTAGGGGGTATTCGTTGTGTAGGTTGTGTAGTTCGTCCGGGTATTCGAGGTCCACTTCGAGGATGCAGCTGTGTTTCATCCATTTTTCCAACTCGTTGTCGTTCATCCATTTGAAGTCTTTGATGGGTAGGGGCTGACTCATTGCCCATCCGTATAGGTTGTTTGCGTCCAGGTAGGGGAGGTACTTGCTTTTCTTCTTGGGGGTGTAGTTAGCCATGTACTTGTTGTTGGCTATGGCATGTCTTTTGGTGATGGTGCTGATTCCTCCGCGGATTCCTCTTTCTATGAGTAGATACATGTTCGGATCGGAAATAAGCTCCAGTTCTACTTCGGTTAGTTTTAGACACGCATCCCACGCCAGTCCAGGTGATGTGTAGTACCACAGGGGATCGAGTCCGTAGTTTGCTCTGCATACCTTCCTGAAGTTTTTCATAACGTCTGTCAGGAGTAGGACGTCCGTTTTGAGGTAGAGGTCGTGGTAATCCCTCATGGTTTTCATACCGAAGGTGTTCCACACATTCTGTGCTCTCCTGTAGTCGGTGTTGCTGATGTCTTCGTTGGTTAGACTGCTGAAGAATTTGCTCTTGGGTGGAAGGGATGTTTCTTTCAGCTTGTTGAATCTATCCATGTGCTCGTAGGGGTATACACCTTTCTGCTTAAGGATTTCCCGTTGCTCTGTGGTGTAGTGGGATGTCATTAGGTCCAGATTTTCGAAGTCGTCCTTGCCCAGACCCTTGGTGAGTTTGTCCAGGGAGCTTGCCATAAATTTGAAGGAGTCCAGGAATCTTAGTTCCCTTTTAACCTTCTTTTCCTTACCATCCTTGTCTCTGAATGTATCGACCTCTACCTCTTTTGTAAAGGATATGTACTTTTCGTCCGTCTTAGGGATGCACTTGATGTCTCCGCTGCTCACCCCGAGGTTTTTGATGAATAGGTGGGCATCGCAGGGGCGGATTTAGACCGTTGCAACTGTAGCATATGCTACGGTCAGATTTTCCATAGGCCAGTTCTAACATGGATCATAAAATCAATCTAAAATATAATTTAGCAATATTTTGTTTAGCTACTTTCCTTGTTTATATTTCAAGGTTTTATTTTATTTAGTTTTATATGTTCTAAAACATTTTATTTTGACAAATTGATGACATTTATAATACGTAACGTTAATTGTTTTAAGAATTCCCGCCCGAAAATACGGTTGTAATTGCCCGTTTGCGGGTCATTACGCAATGGACTATAGCTTAGAAAATATCATCCTTCAGAAATACACCGTAGCGTGTTGCCCATATATGATCAATTTTCGCTACGGTCAGATTCATTAAGGTCGAATCTGACCGTAGCGAAAATTGGCATATACGGCATTCTGATTGGTTTGCTACGGTCAAACGTAGCAAACCAATCGGAATGGGGCAAATGCTATAGTTTGCTACGGTGGCATGAAATTGGCTACTGCTCCAGAACGATGGAATATCTGATATTTGTGTTTGGCTCATCAACAACATGCTATTGGGAACCCACAGTACGGTTGTGCGCATTTCGAAATGAAAGCCGTCGTAAAGCTAAAGGATTTATATGGGTCGAGGTAGAAATAAAATCAGATAGTAAAACGAATCATTTCCAGTCAGGTAAGCCTTATGAATGATAAGAGATGCACATTATATTTTAATTTTAGTTTTTACTGTATAGTGTTCGCTATCAACTTCGCTTTATTAAAGTGTTTGTGCGCGTATGTACAGTAATACCTGCATGTATTGGAATTAATACGCGAATTATGATACGCGCGTATATATATCGTGTTTTATAGCGCGCTAATCTTTGTTTGTAATGCGTATATATTCGTAAGATAGTTAAGATACGCGTATTCATATCATACGCGCGTTCATATATGATATGCGTATTCGTATGATACACGCGTTCGTAGATGATACGCGCATTTCGGTATTCAATTGATAATGATATGCGTATGATACGAGTATCATACTGATGTCGTATGTTAAAATATACGCGAGCAATAGTTTACATTTTGAGATCATTTTGGCTTATTTTTGCTTGAGCCGGAATACAATGAGGACAAATTTAATGGTCACATGCAGTGCTCAGAATGCAGGAAATGGCATTTCCGGGCTTCAAATTTCAAAAATTTTCCGGGGGGCATGCCCCCGGACCCCCCTAGGTATGCGAGGTCTTGGAAAATGCTACGGTCAGATTTTTGGCTGGATCCGCCCCTGGGTGGGCATCGTACCCTTCAAGGTTATGGAAGAGGACTGGTATGAATTTCGGCTGTCTCATCCTGAGGTTACACGAGTTGTGTGCTGCACCTCTGTATTTACCCGTGTAGTGACAGTGATCGTTGACTTTGTAGTCTTTTAGGGTGAATTCTTCCTTACGCGCGTAGCAGTTGGTTGCTTCTTCGTAGTTTTTGGTATCACTTGGGGTCATTCTGACGGGCTTTTTGAACTTGAACTTGCTGTAGATATCCCGGGTTTCCTCCTCGAGAAGGTCCACAATTTTTTTGGTGATGTCTTCTCCTTCGTATTGCTGGGTGTAATGTACCAGCTTGGGTTTGTAGATGGAGTTGTCGAAGCATTTAATGTAGTAGCAGAATCCGCTGGGGTTGTGTTTCTGGTATTGTGTGGTACTTGACTTGTCCGGTTTTTGTTCCTTTGCATCCAATTTCTTGATGTAGCATTCGAAGTCCGCATAGATGACGATCGGGAATTCCTGTATTCTTTCGTAGTTATAGGAAGGTGTCCCTTTATTATATGGGGTTTATTTTGAAAAAGTTGATTCTGTTTTCTCCCTATAATTTGAAAACCCCACCAGTTCAGTACCTGGATCTTTTAATCAATCTTTCAAAATTCTCATCATTACGTATTATGACTTCGGACTCACCTAAGTGGATCGTGTCTTCCGTGTTTTTTAGGTTTTTGATCCAGCACCTACGTATTTTGGGTGTGAGGTCGGAGATGTTAAAGATGACTATAATACCGTATGGTTTTCCATTGGCGTTATATTTTAAACTACCGATTTCAGCATCTTTTCCGATCCATCCTTCCCCGAGCCTAACGTTAATTTTTGATGTGTGGTTACGACCGACAAAAGGTACATCAAGTATTGGTTTTTCGAGTTCTAGGGTTATAATTATGTCTCCGTAGCTAACCCGCTTAAGAATCCTTTCGATACGGTCCACACTTTCGGAACAGTTGAAGATGAGTACGGTTCTTATTATTTTTTTTCTTTTGAGAGTTCTCCTTGCTGTGGGTTGTTCCATGGTTTCTTTATTTATATGTAGGAAGTCTTGTCTATAGATGGATCGTTGATTCTGTTTGAGGTACTTTTAACCATATTTAAGGTTACTCGACTCTACTCACGACATTACTCACAAGTTAACTCGGATATGCTCGTGAGACTACTCAGATATGCTCAAAATTTACTTGGATCTACTCGTGAGATACTTTCAAGTAGATATAGGTCTACTCACGAGATACTCACAAGTAGATATAGGTCTACTCAACTTTTTACTATAAATAAAGAGAAACCATGTCAGAAGTAAACCAAGATACGACAGAAGTACCCATCACAAATCCAGTAAAGACCCACGTCAAGGATCCCAGAAGGGTGGAGGCAGGACGTAGGCTTGCTAAGATAAGTAAGGAAGCAAAAGCAAGGAAGAAAGCACAGCTCGAAGCTATCAAAGAAGAGGAGCAGAACGTTCTGACCGAAGAATCTGAAAATGATGAGTCAATAGTCACCCTAGATATGGTAGGTCTGGTAGTAGGTATCGCCGTAGGACTCGGATCCCTCTATGTTATGTTACGTGGTGTAGTCGTCAGGAAAAGGACGAGAAACCCGAGGAAGATAAGATTGTAAAGGAGCCGAAACCCGCTGTTATCACACCAAAAGGTCCTGACTTGTTTGACTAAAATAGTTCTACTATAATAAAAGACATAATGACCGACACGAAGAAGGAAGTGATCAACGAACTGTACGATGCGGCACTATTGACAACCGGAGTCGTTGGGGTATCCTACCTTGCCAAAACGGTTGCCGAAAAAAGCCTGGGTGCACCGATGACCCTAGAAGGAGCGGCAAAGCTTGCCGTTGCCGTAGCCGGAAGTGCATTCACCATAGGATATCTTAAGGATAAGGGATACATCCCAAAAATGATTGACAAATAAAGAATGACATCTGTCGTTGTAGGAGGACTTTTTAATGCCGTGGCCTTTGCCGGGGCCGGCTTTCTATTCTCCAAGCTTAATGGACAAGGCTACAAGGAAGAGGTAAAAAGACATAACCAAGCTCTAGAGAAGCTTGCAAAATCCAAGGAGAAGTTTTACGAATCCGAAGTGAAGCGCAGGAACGACGAGGCAAGACGGAGGGCCGAGATCCTGGATGCTAACAAGGACATCGAGGAAACAAACAGGGCACTGGAAGACCTGAGGGATTATACGAGGCTTATGGATAATACGGCATCCCAACGCAGACCTAAGTTGGAGGATTACTATCAACCATCGGACGAGATGAAAAGATACGCAGTGTTGACAGTGGGTATACTTGGTGTTGGCGGTGCTTACGGATGAACACGAATATTTTAAATCCTACCATTTGGATTTAAAACCCTATGTTGTCATGAGGAAGCAGCTTATGGTTGTAGTTCCTGTTCTGTTGGTTACATTTCCGGAAGAGTCTACATCCTTGGATTCTAGACCAAAAATTTGTACCATAGAATTTGTTGTATCGCCAGTAACGAAAAATGTAAACGAGACCTGTATAATCCTACTGCTCTGATCACGCGTGAGCATGACGACGGTTCCTGCACTTCCCACGTAAAACCCGTACAGGGTGGAGGATGTTGCCGTGTTACTTCCGTCACTAACATTAAACCTGATGAATTTTGCGTTCCCTTTATCCACATCGGAAATATTAGAAGTTTGAAGAAATCCGGGTGGATACCCAGGTGTTTGTGTAAAATCGTACTGTACATAATTTTTCCCGAGGCTATTTAATTTTACAATCTCGTCCGTATTTTTGGTAACTTCTGCCGTGTTTCCCTGCTGTCCCTTTTCGACTACTGCTAATTTCCGTTTTAAGATATCTAGGTCCTCTGCTGTTGTATCAAAGTAATCGTACCCGAGTAGGATGCTCATTTTATTTAACGTCGAAATACTAGGTATGCAAGTCCAAAGGATGCTACTGCCGCCATCCCAAGAGCCATATTTTGGGTATCAGACTTCTGCCTTAGTTCTGGGGGTTTAAAGTCCTCCACGGTTGGGGTTGGTGTAATGTCATGGCTTTCGTCTATGCTGGAAACTGGTGTAATGTCATGGCTTTCATCTATATTATTCGTAGGGGTAGGAACAGGATTACTCGTATAATTCACCTTCTCATTCTTCCCAAACGTCATCCCGTTTTTAGCTACCGTCAGAACATTGCTGAATCCTGGAATAGGTTTCGCTAAGATTCTCAGGTCGGAAGGAATTAAGATTAAACCCGGCATGATCGCAAAATTTAGGACGACATGGGTGTTAGCAATAGCCGTCCTCATGTCGGAGATGGTAACTGTCACATCGTATTGTACAATTGTATCTTTTACCACCTTACGGAAAACCTCTTGGGTCTGCAAACTTGTTGCACCCTGACCCGTGATACTCCATCGGGTTTTAGCCTGTGCTCCCAGGACGGAATACACAAATGCTTCGATAGACTGCTGGAATAATTTCTGTCCAACTTTGGTAAGTCCCCGGGATGTTTTGGGAATAAGGGTTTTATAATCATTTTCAACGTCAAAGGGTGATCTACCAGTCAGGTATTCGTATTCGATAAATGAACCTCCATATTTAGTCAGACGGTACTTTTGACGTCGTATTCTTTTCCGTTCGCTTACGGGTAACCCGTAGTGTATGTTCCTATGTTTGCGTGGGAAGAGACGGTCCTCCTAACCCATGTTTCACGTACAGGTGTATACTTCCTAATGGTTCGTATATCATCCCCTGTAAGATACTGGTCCAGTAGTTTGGGATTACGCATAAACCTCGAGAGGTGGAAATGAAGGTGAAAGCGGACGATAGAGGTTACTATGTTGGAGTGCGAATTGACAAAGTTGTTCGTCAGGTGATCCTCGGAAATTCCGGATTTGGACATAGCAACATAGCATGCCGCCAGGGAACAGAAGTAGGAATTGGAATGGTAATCGAAGGGTATGGTGTTGATAAAGGTTTCGGAAGGCTTATCGTACGATGATTTAATAGGTTCCAGTTTTGTCAGGAAATTTTCGGTTTCCGTAACGTAGACCTTAAAGGTATGCACATCCATCTTGAAATCCTTATTTGGACGAAAGATTGCATCCGGTCGAACACTACGCCACCCCTCTACCCAGTATAGGTACCTGGTCCACTTCGGATTTGTACGGAATGTGTCGGATGTAACATCATAGCTTGTGAGATCATCCACTTTGTAGAAAATGTCTCTAGACTCTACAGTTCCATCCTTGGCAAAGGTAACCTCAAATTCGAACTTGAATAGGGTCGCATTGGGATATTTTTTGATGAAGTCTGTCTTCATTTTTCGTATTTCGACCGGTGCTGCCGACTTAACCTTCTCATAATTCTTTCCGTAGTAGTGTCGGAAGATTTCCTCACTCATCCTTTTATTTAATGTAAAGTTCCAGCAAGACATCTCCGGAAACAGCTCCAGTATTAGATCCAATTTCAAACCGGATTTCGCTATATTTGCCAGCATCCACCCGTACTTGGCTTTCGATGTCGTTGTATTTCGTCGTGGTTCCAAAGAGAGGTCTTGTTCCATCGATGGGAAGGGAAGTGATGACGGTACTCCTATTTCCGTACGGTCCGATGTTATGCTCGCGATTCACAAGGTTACAACTGACTGTTAAGTAACGCAAGCCTTCATGGATGTCTACGGGACGATCGCTAATGTGTGGTGTGTATGTAGAACCATTGGAGGACCGGTAACCCAGAATACTCGTGAGATTCCGGAATCCTGCGGAATTTGTTCCCTTAGCAAAGTCGATCCTTATTCTTCCATCGGGATATTCCCTAAGTGTCAACGCGTTTTCCTCCAACTCTTTCCTAAGCTGTTTAAAGGTCCAATACCCTTCATCTATCATTACCTTCTTCCCATCTACGGAAATGTAGTCATTGAACCCCTTGCGGATATTCTTATAATTCCAGAACACGGCAGCAGTCTTTACCTAAAGTTCGGATCCATGGGTAAGGATCAGTGGATCCTGTAAATCTAGGGTAACCCCTCCGTCTTCAACATAGACCGTTATCTTCTTCATGTTTTATTTACAGATAAATAAAATGAGTTTGGAATTGGATGTAGCTCTCCGAGAAATATATTTTAACGTTAACGGTGGGTACATGTCGATGGAAAAATTATACCAGAGTGCAAAGGCGGAGGGTATAAAGGGAGTAAGCCGGAAAAATGTTAGGGAATGGTTACAGACACAAAATACCTACATCATCCATAAACCGTCCCGAAAACATTACAAGACCCAAATGACCTATGTGGACGGACTTGCACAGCAAATTCAAATGGACCTTGTGGATATGAGTAAGTTCAGTCATGGGAATAAGGGAAACCGATGGATCCTAACTGTCATAGAGGTTCTGAGTCGGTATGCTTTTGCCGTTCAGGTATGGAGGAAAAATACTGAAAGTATGACGAAGGCTGTCGAAAGTGTGCTCATACAATTTAAGGAAAGATTCGGTAGGTATCCCAAAACGGCACAGTTTGATGACGGAAAGAAATTCTACAATGTAGGAGTAAAGACGTTGCTAAAGGATCACGATGTTCACTACTTTTCCACAAGGACCTTCCGAAAAGCCGCACTCGTCGAGAGATTCAATAGGACCCTAAAAACAAGGATGTGGAAATACTTTACGGAAAACAGGACGAAAGTTTGGGTGGACATCCTACCTGCTCTCGTTAGATCTTATAATAATTCCACACACAGGACAATAGGAATGAAACCGGCAGATGTGAATGAGGAAAATAAGGACGAAGTTTGGACGAAAATCTATGGATATCCACTAAGCACTTTTCCGGATCCTAAATTTAAAGTTGGGGATTACGTTAGGGTGGAAATAAAGCACAAGACCTTCGAAAAGGGATACAAACCCAATTTTGACAACGAAGTATACGTCGTTACAGCGGTGTTCCGGGGAAATTCCAACATGTACAGCCTTAAGGATCCGGAGGATGGTGAGGATATTTTGGGTAGGTATTATGAACAAGAATTATCTTTAGACTTAAATAAAAATGGAGGATAACATAGAGTTGGACAACCTTAACCGACCGGAAGGGGCTGAAGGGGGTGAGGACGAAACAGTTATTGATGATACACCTATTGACGAGGATGACTTTCTTTCAGGACTAGACGACGATCAGAGACTAGACGATGCAAAAACCTCCAGCTTTCGTGAGGAGAATAGGGAAGACTCCTACAGGAACAGGAAAAAGCAGTTAGACGAACTAAGCACATTTGGAAAATTTGATGACATAAAGGTAGAATACGTCAGAAGGTTTTTTCAAACTGAGTACCGAATAGATCCGACCGACGGACGAAACTCTAAGGAACTTATCTCCAGTTTAGACATCACTAAAAATAAGTTAACATTCAATGGGGCTGATGTCGCATACATTGATACGGGTGGTAACTACCAAAAGTCTGATAATAAGAAAAATATTGCATCATTAAGAAGATTCATTAATTTATACGAAAAAGCACTCGCCGAACACAGGGAAAGAGCCAGAAGTGTAGTTGAAGAGGAAACCGGAGGAGAGGCATCAGGAGAAAACGTGGAAGAGATTTTCGAAGACGCTGAGGAGGAATTCCACCAGGAAGTCGCCGACACGGGCGACAACCTCATGGAACACGCAAGGGAATTAGAAGAAAGGGGAAAAATAACCATGTGGGGGAGGAGGAAATTTGCGGGAGTAACCGCTCCCAAGGGACCCCCCGAAATCAGGATTAAAGCATTAAAAATACAGGATAAAGTATTCGAAACCAATATAGAACTCACAACAGATCCCGAAAGACGGCAAATTATGCAAGAGGGTAGGGATGTTACCGAACGCGGTATTGACAGCGCCAGACTAGAAATGGGTCTACAGCCGGAATCAGAGGAGGGAAAACACAGGTTTAGGGAAAAAATAAGGGAAGACATCAGGACAAAATTCGAAAGATTTCGCAAATGGGCAAAGGAAAACCTAGGCGCAATAGCCGCCATTGCCATTTCTATCGCTGGAATTATCACTACAGTCGTAGTGGCAGGAAAGAAAACCATCGTAGGAGCCTCCAAAGGATTAGGAGCTGTAGGAAAAGCACTGGCTGGACTTGCAAAATCCGCACTACCAATCCTAGTACCTTTCCTAAATTTACTGAGTACTATCCTAAGCTGGGGAGCAAAGGGTCTCGCCTTCCTTGCCCAGAACCTATGGATCGTAGCAGTCCTAATTGCCGGAGCCGTATACAAGTACCTACAGATTAAACGAAAGAAATAAAGTTATACTATAATAAAACATAATGGACCGAACAGCTGAACTTATGCCCACCTTCCGACGCATGAATAGGACGTAAATTACCGGGGATAGGACCAGACATGTCCTAACCTTCAATCCCAATTCTGCCAAACCCGGAGAAGAAATCTACGTCAACATCCCAAAGCTAAAAGCCGACTCCGTTCTCGTACCGGATAGTATGGCTTTAGTTTTCGACTTCAAGAACAGTAATACAAAATCCTGGTTTAGGAACAACCTGGGAAAACTTCTCCAGAAAAGACTGGAAATCCGACTCGCAGGAGAAAAGGTCTACGACAACAGTGGAGAAAGCTTACTGGAAGTCTACAAAGACCTATGGCTACACAACAAGCAGCGTGACGATATGGTAGAGGATGGTATCGCCAGCGAAGCCACGAGGAAGAAAATATCCAAGGACGACGCTGCAAACGATGATGCAGAGGCTACCGCATTGTTCGGTGTATTCGGAACAAAACAGAAAATCCGAATCAACAAGATCCTAAAAGATCACGGACTTTATGCTCCACACAACATGGCAAACGACCTACAATACGTGATCACCCTACCTGCAGCGACCGAAATCGTGAGCGCATAAGGTGGGGAATCTGTGGAAGGATACACCCTGGAGAACATCGAACTGGAATACGAGCACGGTGGGCACAAAAGACAGCTAATTCGGCCACGTACAAATAACTTTCTGTCGTTAACTTGGAATATCACGAAACTTCCTCACAGGATAGAAGATGCAATTCCTAAAAATCCTATCGTTTTTGTTTTTCGATTTGGTTACATTTTGGCAGAAAAATGACGTGCTAACTTTGGCGCCAAAAAAGTAAACACGAGCTAAGAACATGCTAGTAACTTTTTTGAAGAGGTTGTCCTATAAGGATCTCAAAACTGTAAAAACATTGAAAATACAACAAGGCAGGGCGAAGATATGGCGATTCAAAATTCGAAAAAAATCTATTTTTAGTAACAAATGGCGGTTTTTTCAGAATTTTAAGCACCATATCTTTGCACTGCTTTGGCGTATTTTCAATATTTTCACAGTTCTGAGATCCATATAGGACAATCTCTTCAAAAAAGTTCCTAGCATTTTCTTAGCTCGTGTTTAATTTTTGGCGCCAAAGTTGGCACGTCATTTTCCCGCCAAAATGTAACAAAATCGAAAAACAAAAACGATAGGATTTTTAGGAATCGCAAGTTCTATTCTGTGAGGAAATTTCCTGATATTCCAAACTAACGACATAAAGTTATTTGTACGTGGCCGAATTTGCTGTCTTTTGTGTCAACCGTGGAGTCCATCGACAACATCGATCTCGCAAGGAAAGCCGAGGGTCTGTACGGATCCAAACGCGAGTTATCCTTCGAACACGTTACCCTAATGAAGAAGACGGAATGGAGCAAAGATTCCACCATCATCAACGAAACGATAAACGTACCACGCAGGAGTATGAAAGCCATCGTTATGCTATTTACAAACAAGACAAGGACAGACAGCGAGGAATACATCTACCCCAACATCGAAAAGGTTAAGGTAACCGTAGAAGGTGTTCCCAATGCAGTCTATAGTCAGGGTATCCCCAAAACAAGACTGTACGAGGAGGCAAGGCGACTGTTTGGTACCGACGAAATCAGTCATCAGACACTAACCGGATTCTTCAAAGACAAGAAATTCGCACTAGTCATCGACCTAAGAACCGCAAGCGATGCTAACACATACGGAAACGGTGCAAAAATACAGAACACTCAATCCGGAATACTGGTGGAGATCACAAAGAAAGCCACAACTGCAAACGTTATATGTTACCTGTTCGTCCTATCCAACGGTGTTATCAAGATCACAAACGGACAACTTGCTGGAATAAGATATTAAATTATTTAGAAACTACAGTTTTTTCATACCCAACAGGGTCTGAAAATATTTATGCCTGATCGTCGGCCTCCGCTCCTTCCTCAGGAGGTGGTTGTTCGGGGGTCCCACGATAGACATGCTTTACCGTCGTTACTCCACCGCTAACAATACCCAGGTAGGGTATGTATGGGGACAGCTTTGCCACTACACTTTTAACATCACTCTTAAACAGTTTATCCTGATTTAATTCCTCCCTCAATTCATTCCCACTATCCACCACACTGATAGCTTCCATGAGATCCGAAAATTTTTCAATCAAAGCCTCTGCCAGCACCACATTTGCCTTTTCCCTCTGTGCGGTAATGTATTCCCTCCGTACTTTCATGATAACCTTCCCGGATGCCTTCTTCAGGTAACTCTCGGACTGTTTAATCTCTCCCGCATTGGACAGGCGAATAAGCTCTGCCCTACTGTCCTCTGTGATCTTATCATAAGCTGAAGCAATTCCACAACGAAGACCATCTATAATTTCTTTTACCTCAGTGTCTGTAACTAAATTAAAAAACACGGAATGATCACCATATTATCCATAAGGTATGACTTATAACAACAGGATGAATTATCGATATGTACTAGATAAAACATGAGCAGCCGATCTTTATCTGATACACAAACTCGAGCCGAAGGCGAGAGTTTGTATATCAGATAAAGATCGGATGCGAATGTTTTATCGTGCTTAAAAAGCGACCCATCTTATGAGTTCATTGCCGAAGTAATTTTAAAAATAAACATTGGCTAAGCCGAGAAAATCAAAGTTAAAATTTATGTAAATCAGGACAAATCCGTATCCGATTTACAAACGTTGATTAAACATGAATTGTTAATGATTTTTTAATATTAGATAAGTTAGGGCCAATATTGCGAATATAATTGGAAATATTGCGGTTGTTAACAATAAAGTATAGTGACTTTTTCATAGCTTTTTTCGTATTTATTACCTCAATAAGAATTTTCCAGGCATGCTTTGTGTTTGTCTTAACACGCTTTAATTGCTTTTCCTATAATACATACGTTTGGCAATTCTTAGCAAGTGTTTAATTTATTCTTAGATGTTTTTTTATTCATAATTATTTTCACATGGCTGGTTCATATATTTTCGATGTAGTTTGTTTTTCTCCGCTTTATTGACTTCAGAAGACCCTTTGAGACCCATGGTTTTCTTGATTTATGCTTTGAAATTTTAATTTTTTTTAATGGGAAGCAAGAGTTATAAGTATTTGTAAATTTATCCAAAAACACACTATACGCATGTCGAGGATCATTATTATGAAACATCGCCGAGCAACATAAATAATCACTAGTCCAGTGATTTATTAAGAAAGGAGCTCCAATATGATCTTCCTTGTAAAACGTTGTAGTAAACGTCTGTATTCACGTCTACGCGAGTAGAATGCGTATTCTGCATGCTCCTTAATTCGAGTTGATTCCTCTCAACGAATGAGAACACCGACAGAGAGAGGCAGATCTTGCTTATCTAGCTAAGCTTCGAAAGTAAAGTACTGATGAATTACATCATGGAAACTGAAACCACGATCGAGTACTATCGCTGTGATAGTAGGACGTGGCGTATTTTTCAGACTAGCTGTACTTTTTAATATTTCGCTAGAAAGTTGATTTTCTATGTTTACTTTAAAGTTTAAGAAATAAAGGACAATTCTAATATTCTTCACGGTTTCGAAAAACTATTTTTACCAATTTCCCACGGCTTCGACCGGACAGTATAGCACAAAAACCTTCCGGAGCCCCCCTAGAAATTGATCGAGAGCCAACTAGTGCGGGCTTGATAAAAAAGGAGGTGGAGGGAAAGTAATGGTTCTAATGGATTTTTGTGCACGGAACTGTACCATGATGAAAGCCCCTAGCTACACACCGAGAATAAATAGAAATAACTTGCCAATTAAAAAATGGCATAGAAACGTGCTTGTCTTAATAGAGAGTTTACGCATGTAAGACGGCAATGTCAGGACGACGGCTATCAATACAATGACATTAATCCTATAGCACAAAAGAAATGAATAATTAAAAGTATAGCTGGAGTTTAAGACGTCGTCCAGGCTCTGTTGACGACGGCAAAATGCATATTTTCACGTTTTGTAGAGTACTCAAGCATTTCAAGCCGTGGCAGGCGATACTTCTGGCAGAGTTCATCAAAATTGCTCTGAAAGTTAAAGTTCTGTTTTAGGCCCGTTTCATACGCCGTACTTCACATGTGCCGAATACATTAAAGACAATAGATAATGAGATGAAATACCTCATTATCTATTGTTTGTAATGTATTCGGCACATGTGAAATACGGCGTATGAAACAGGCCTTACTCTCTCTAAACTGTATTAAATTCATACGAAAGTAAATACAAGACAATATTCCCATACAATCATTTATATCAAACAGCTTGTTTAGCCGTCGTCCTGACACCGCCGTCTTACATGCGGAAACTCTCTAATGGCATTGACGTGTGTGGACTGCATGTCTGTGGTAATAGCAATGAATACCCTCAGGGGAAAATTCTATTTTCAGTTCAATACTGTAGATTCCATGAAGATACTACAAACTGTCAACATCAATGATGATGGCGGCGTGTGCATCCTTGCCTAGAATTACATTCCAACTATCTCCGTATCTAAAACACCCACTGGCTGCTACTGGTTGGAAGGTGAGAAATGAAAATAAAATAACATGCAATAAAGTAATTTATTTATATCTGGTTCACACAGAAGCGAATATTCTTAAACAATTACCCGAAAGGTGAGCTGTTCTCGAAATATACAAGTAGCCAAGTAGGATATCAAATTACATAAGATCACGTATATGCATTTAAGACATACCTAATTTCTTTATTAAACTCATTATATAAGACTTAAGACCAATAGCAGTGGCATTGGCAATGGATAAACTATCATATCTGTTTTAAGGTATATGAATAATTTAATGGCAGGTGATTTTAAAATTCATCTTACTAAAACCTGCAAACCAATTAGAGTTACCTTAAAAGTTTACATAGTACAGTTGAAATTTATAGTAACGAAGTGTCGGACATGTGGAATATATAGATTTTCGTATAAAATGTAGGCTACATTGTCTACGCACGATCGCGATTGTCCATGATTCAATGAAGGGCTATTGCTTGCTATTATACAGGGTGTATCAAAAAAACCGCAACCTCGTAATTTCCTAAGAAATCACTTTGCAATTCTTAAGCATAAAAGATTTTAGGCCCCTGGGAATTGAAATCGAATTAAATTGCTAATAGATCATATTACTGTTGTTGTGCATTAAATAAATGCATAAATTTTGCTTTACGCACTCGCGTGTGCAGTAATTTTGACAGTTATGCTATTTTAAATTCCCAGGCGCCTAAAATCTTTTGTCTTTAAAACAATGTCGATGTCTTGGGAAATTCCGAGGTTGCACTTTTTTTGATACACCCTGTAGTTCTCGTCCCGAAATCAAAAGCGTATACTATACTATACAATACAAAACAATAGAAACTCCGAAGAAATTCATATTTTTAGTCAATTCGCGTGTGCTGTAGTTTTGACAGTTGTGCTATTTTAAATGCTCAGGCGCTTAAAATCTTTTGTCTTTAAAACAATGTCGATTTCTTGGGAAATTCCGAGGTTGCGTTTTTTTTATACACCCTGTAGGTTGTTAAAAGGCAAAACTAATAGTGGATTTAAATTATAAAAGTGTTCACACGAATTGATATGTCTAAAAATCTCAGAGTCTTTCGAATCAGAGTATATATAGTCTGTAGCTATTCAAATTAACTGTAGGCGACAACGAAGAAAGCTTACCTGACAGGTAAAGTACTCGTTATACTGATGACGATGTAACTGCATAATTATTCAGTATAGGTCAATAACCTCTATTAATTTCATTATACAGGGTGACCCAAAAAACCCAAAAACGATTGAAATAACATATTGTTACAATTTGAATGTCTCAGCACTCTGGTAAACCAACGTCCAACAAGTGCATAAAAGCTTGACATAAGTATAAATTTTTATGCCGAAAAGGAACTGTTTAAGAAACTGCTTTAAATTCCCAAGAGCAGAAAATCGTGCGTTTTATAAAGATATTTGAATTTCATAATAAGTCAATATTTACAATTACACCCTATCAATATTTTACGCATCTTTGCGTTCAGCTAAAGCCTGGCGCACACGATGCGATTTTAGTCGGCCGATAAAAATCGTTTGACTAAAACTAACAAAATCGTTGTGTGTGCGGTGTCATTTTTAATTAACCGAGTTTTGTTGCTCGATTTTAATTAATCGGACAACATCAAAACGTTTTGACATTATACGATTTTTATCGGTGGAATTTTAAGTATAACCAATCAGATTTCATGCCGTGATCACGTGCTTGTATTTATTTATAAAGCTTGACGTAAGTAAATTTGATGCATAAGAAACCGTTTAAGAAGCTGTTTTAAATTCCCAAGAGCAGAACGTCGTGCGCTTTACAAAGATATTTTAATTTCTTAATAAGTCAATATTTAATATATGCACCCTGTCAATATTTTACGCATCTTTGCGTTCAGCTTAGTGCTAGGGCATTCAAATTTTTACAATACGTTATTTCAACGGTTTTCCGTTTTGTATAGATTGTTGTGCAGAGACAATACAATTCTAAATTTTAACTTTGAATTTGCAAAACAATTGCATCGCACGACGCACGCAATATTCCAATAACATTGCAATAAATTACTAATAAATAACATTCCTCGAAATCAAAATATATATATTCCATGAAAATATACTGTTGATCTTGATGGATTACTTAGTAGATTATGGCTGTCAAAGTTGTGTGTTATTACTTACCTTTATTATTCTCACAATTATTAATACTTCTTCTATTATTTTTGTACCTTCCTTAGTCTAAAGGCTAGTTTCTACTCAGGAAAATTATATCCGTGGATTGGAACGGACAAGAAAATGTTTCTTTGTGTTAAAGTCATTAGTTCCAACCCAGAGGCAGAGCTTACAAACAAAGAAAAATTTTCTTGTCCGTTCCAATCCACGGATAATTTTCCTGAGTGGAAACTAGCCTTCCATAGAAAGCGTTTTTGGATGGACGGGGCTGTTAAAATCGTAAAGGCGGGGTTTGCCACTGAAAGGTTCTTACTAATATATTGTAAGTTTCTTTCTTCTAGTTAGTTATGATTTGATCTTTCAAGTACACATATATTTCTAGTTTCAGAATTGAAAACTCACCTCAAAATGTCATGAAGTGCATGAGAGATTATAAGTTAACAATACATTCATTCGTTCCTTTGTTTGCTCATTCATTGGTTCGTTAATTGGCTCAATACGTACAGTTTAAAAGAAATCACAAGTTGCTATTATGGCGACAAGACGTTTTAAGATGGCGGATGATATTCATGATTTAAAATAATAATTTAACTGGAAAATTTATCGATGACTTCCAAATTTCATATCATACAATGATTTCTACTATTATCATTTATAGATAAAATTGTATGCGCCTATTGTATGGCTGCAATCTTCTTAGCTTTATATTTTTTGTTTAATTTACTTTTAAAACCTTACTTTAAAACCTTACTTAAACCTTAACTGGCTCAGAATATCTTATATATAGTTTGTTTTTTCTCTTTATTGACTTCAGAAGACCGTTTGAGACCCATGGTTTTCTTGATTTATGCTTTGAAATTTAAATTTTTTTAATGGGAAGCAAGAGTTATAAGTATTTGTAAATTTATCCAAAACACACACTATACGCATATCGAGGATCATTATTATGAAACATCGCCGAGCAACATAAATAATCACTAGAAAGGAGCTCCAATATGATCTTCCTTGTAAAAAGTTGCAGTAAACGTCTGGATTCATGTCTACGCGAGTAGAATGCGTATTCTGCTCCTTAACTCGAGTTGATTCCCCTCAACGAAGATCAATGAGAACACCGACAGAGAGAGGCAGATCTTGCTTATCTAGCTAAGCTTCGAAAGTAAAGTACTGATGAATTACATCATGGAAACTGAAACCAAGATCGATTTTTAATATTTCGCTAGAAAATAAAGGACAAATATAATATTCTTCACGGTCTCGAAGAACTATTTTTACCAATTTTCAGTCCCACGGCATCGACCGGAAATTAGCACAAAAACCTGCCGGTGTCCCCATAGAAATTAAGAGCCAACTGCGGGCTTGATACAAAAGGAGGTGGAGGGAAATGTTTGTGCACTGAACTGTGCCATGATGAAAGACCCTAGCTACACACCGACAATGAATAAAAATAACTTGCCAATTAAAAAATGGCATAGAAACGTGTTTGTCTTAATGGCATTGACGTGCGTGAACTGCATGTCTGTGGTATTAATATCAATGAATACCCGAGGGGAAAATTCTATTTTAAGTTCAATGCTGTAGATTCAATGAAGATACTACAAACTGTCAACAACAAATGATGATGACGTGTGCATCCTTGCTTAGAATTACATTCCAGCTATCTCCGTATCTAAAACACCCACTGGCTGCTACTGGCTGGAAGGTGAGAATTGAAAATAAAATAGCATGCAATAAAGTAATTCATTTATATCGGGTTCACACAGAAGCGAATATTCTTAAACAATTACCCGAAAGGTGAGCTGTTCTCGAAATATACAAGTAGGATATCAAATTACATAAGATCAACGTAATTAAGCCTCTTTCTCGTCCACCCCCTTTCGCATCACATTAACGACCTAATTTTTCCAATGTAAATATCTCGGCAAGTATTTACCCCCTTTTAAACGAAATCCTCACAAAATAACCTTTCGAACGGGGGGGTCAAGTGCCGTCAAAGCATTACACAAACCGAAACAATCATATATTTACTCACCGCTTGGCCAAAAGATTCTAAATTTCATATCCAGAGAATCTTGAATATCTCTTGAACTTTTCGTCATTTGCTGAACGGCTATATGTCACTAAAATACTCTTTGTGTTCAATGCAATTTGACCTTCCGAACCATTTCTGGCCTTTGCAGGGTCATACGATACAAACGTCGCATTGTTTTGACGTTTTTTAGTCGTATTTCCGGTTGGGATTAACTCATCCTACATCAAAAGCCAGCCGCATCAACCTGACGGCTAGAAATTTCATATCTTCGGTTTAGTGCATGCTATGAAGACAGAAGTACCACCATTCGATTCAAAAATAAAAGATTCAACTAATTCCTCACTATAGTTATAGTCATTATCAACATTGTAGCGATTTACGGGCCTTTGAAAGTCAAACACTGAATAAAAATAGAAACTAGCCATACCTTTCGCCGAAAATAACTTCGGCCCCCTCGAACATATCGTCTTTGTAATAGTCTTGTTCGAATCCCCATCAAAAACGCTATTTAGAGTGTTATTTGCAATCTTTTATCAATATATTTCCATTTCTTGTCCGAATGTGAGCTCGAAGTACAAGTAGGATATCAAATTACATAAGATCACGTATATGCTTTAAGACATAACCTAACAGCTAATTTCTTTATTAAACTCATTATATAAGACTTAAGACCAATAGCAATGGATAAACTATCAAATCGGCTTGAAGGTGATTTTAAAATGCATGTGATTTTAAAATACATGTGATTTTAAAATACATCTTACGCTAAAACCTGCAAACCAATTAGAGTTGCTTTAAAAGTTACATAATACAGTTGAAACCTAAATGTTCTTATAATGTTTGCTATAGTAACGAAGTATCGGAGATGTGGAATATATAGATTTTCGTAAAAAATGTACATTGTCTACGCACGATCGCGATTGTCCATGAAGGGCTATTGCTTGCTATTTTAGTTCTCGTCCCGAAATCAAAAGCGTATACTATACTATAGTCTGTAGCTATGCAAATTAACTGTAGGCGCCGACAACAACGAAGAAATCAAAGCTTACCTGACAGGTAAAGTAGAAAAGTACTCGTTATAATGACGATGTAACTGCATACTTATTCAGTATAGGTCAATGACCTCTATTAATTTAATTATACAGGGTGACCCAAAAAACCCAAAAACTGTTGAAATAAAGTATTGTTAGAATTTGAATGTCTCAAAACCCACAAGTGCATAAGAGCTTGACATAAGTATAAATTTTATGCCAAAAAGAAACTGTTTAAGAAACTGCTTTAAATTCCCAAGAGCAGAAAATCGTGCGTTTTATAAAGATATTTGAATCTCATAATAAGTCAATATTTATAATTACACCCCATCAATATTTTACACATCTTTGCATGCGTTCAGGCGGCGGCGGTTCAGCTAATAATGATAGGGCATTCAAATTCTAACAATACGTTACTTCAATAGTTTTGAGTTTTGGGGGACACCCTGTAGATTGTTGTGCAGAGACAATACAATTCTAAATTTAAACTTTGAATTTGCAAAAAATTTGCAGTGCCGTGACGCACGCAATATTCCAATAACATAGCAACGAAAAACTAATTGCTGCCTAACGTGCTTCCTGTTTTTACTCGCCCCAGTCTTTTTCGCGGAGTTAGTATAGTCAATCTCGTTCTGGACTCTGTCTAGTCCCCTACGCAGCCTGTTCGCGGGTCCGAGGTTTTCTCCCCACTAACAGGCTGCTTACTGCAACAACACATTCCATTCCGATTGTTTAGCCAATCACAGTCTGAGTACCAAAATCAGGAACTCGTTCGCGCTTAAATTTACTAATTCCGAAACAAATATGGCGTCGTATGATCAAGCATTGTGTGAAGTCGCCCATTATTTCGTATTTCTAGTTTTAACGATCATCAGAAGAATGCGATTCGAACAATAATTAAAGAAAAATGAGATGTGTTTGTCAACCCGCCTACTACAGGCTTCGGTAAATCGATTTGCCTCTCATGTGATGTGATCGCCTGTTCCACGAATAATGCCAGAGTGGTAGTTTATGGAACACCAGAGGCATTGCTCTTAAATCATTGACTATTTAACTGCCTTATTTATGTTTCGGTACCACCAGCTTAATAATGTACCAGATTTCTTTAAAAATTATTTTGTGACAAACAACAAAATTCATGAACATAAGTCATAACACGAGAAATGCTTCAAAACTTCACGAATGTTATAAAAGGACAAATCATATTAATTATGTGAAACACAGTCTCTCATATAAAGGAGTTGATGTATGGAATTCGTTAGAAACAAAGTTTAATGAAATAAACGTTAACTCCTATAACATCTTCAAAAAGCAAATTAAACAACACTTTGCTATACACAATTGACAATTACCATAAGACATGCGATAAAACATACCTCTTTTAAATATATATACGCAGTGGCGGCGCCAGGCCTCAGAATTTGGGGGTGCATTTGAGGGGCAAACTCATATTTTTGGGGGGCAAGATAGAATTTTTAAAAATGTACTGCTATTTGCCCATGCCGTTGTCACAGGACTTTTGTCCCCCCCCCGCCCCCGCAGGAGATTCGCTCCCCTCTCAAAAGGGGGCGAATTTTAGCTATTTGGTCTGCATTCCTTGTAAAATTTTTATCCGTTGACGGTATTATTTGTTTTTGAAAACTGAAAATTCGCGTCGCGTTTCCGAACGCGTCCGGTCTGTGTCGGCCTTTACACGTTTGAGAATTTAACTTTGCAACACTAAAGCTTTTTTTGTCTTTTTTTGAAACGTATTATTGGAGTACTGGCAAGTTTTACCATTCAGAGATTTACAAACTAATATTGAAACTGTAAAAGACAGTTTCATGTATACGCGCATTCACTAATGAGTAATGACAACTTATAAGCCATACATTTTCCGATAACAACAAAACGCTTGTGTAGCCTTTAGTCGCTCTCAGTGACTAATAAATTTTTTTGAGGGGGGAAAAATGGTGGGCAAAAAATAATTGGGGGGGGGGAGCGCTTGGGCCTCCCCGCCCCCTGGCGCCGCCACTGTATATACGTAATACTTTAGTAATATATAGCACTTTAGTTTAGTATATTGTTGGCCATTGTTGCCCAGTCGTTGTAAAAATTTAAATGCATCGCCAACATTAGTATTAATTTATATAATACGAACATTGCTCTTCTTTTTCTCTGTTAGTGTTGTAAATACAGACGTATATATTCTTCAAAACGTCTCCTTTTACATATTGCATGTGGGCCTATTGACTGACTGTAAATAATTGACTATGTGATTTAATTATCACAAATGAACTGTAATTAGAGGCCTAAATAAAAAGTCTACGAAGATGTCTAGTAGGTATATAGCCCGGCCAAAATCGTTTAAAGATATATTTTAAGTAGCTTTTTTATACATGGGTAAAATTAAATAAAAATATAATATATAAATTTGTAAACAAAAACTATTTTGAAATTGACAAGTTGTCAAATTCAAATTAGGGACCGGTCATTATTTATGGTGGGGGGTGGCACCGAAGAGAAAAGGGTTGGGTAAACTAAATTTTGAGTAAGTAAAAGGTTGGGTAAATGAAAAACAAAACAACTCAAGGGTTGGGTAATAAAAAATTATTGTCATTTCCAAAGCATGACTCACTGAAGTATTGGGGACTAAAAAGCAATGGCAACAGTAGGCCCTACTCTGGGGCGATAACGAGATAATGCGAGTTTAAGCAATTTTAGGTGACTTAAGCAAAATCTGCAATTTAAGCAATGCGAGTTTGAGCAATATTAGGGCAATGTAAGAAAACAATTAAAATTTTAGGGAATGCTGTTTTAGGTGTTTAGAGGTAATTTCAGGAATATACAACTATATCCCTGATGACTCCAATGAAATTACCATTAACCCAGGGTGCATTCCGTGTAAACCTCACGCCGAAGATAATCTGAGGTAGTGTTACCGTGCGCCAAGTGAGGATATAGATTCATGTCTCGCTAATAGGGTTAGCGGTTAGGGTTAGGGTGGGGATTAGGGTTAGCATTATAAATAGCGAGACATGAATCTATAACCCCAAGTGAGGTAACCTGAAGTTCAGGCCCTAATTTGAAATAGGGCCTGACACAAAACCTGTCTAGACCGTGGGACGCCCACATGTTATTTTTAGATACACATGCAATATGATTGACAAGTGTTGTAGATTTCGTTACACAAAAAAATTATATTCTCATGAACATGTCCGCAGAGCATTTTGCTTTTTCATTAAACTTAAAAATTCAAGGTACTTTTATATAATTAAGAGTCAGTTTCTCTATTTAACCGAACAGGCGAACAGCAAACAAAGATTTAATTAGTCAGTTCTGTGCACGGCTTGACCGCCAAGCCTTCTCAAGGTCTCAACTTGCTGGACGCGGATATACTCTAACGACTAACGTCACTAACGGGCTAATAACAGCAACAATTAAATTCTCAATCATACCACGAAGAAGGCGATGTAGCTCAGAAAACAATTACGCCGGTAGGACCTGATATTAAAAATAAGACTTTTGCCGGCGAAGCAAGTTGGCAGAACATCTTGGCTGTCAACAACAAGCTTTCGAATACACGACTAGTTTGGCTGTTCTTTCAGCGTCGTGTGTGTCCAAATTCGTCAAAGATTTTGATGAAGCCCTTTCAAAATACTGTTTGTTTGATTTATTTTCTGCCATAAAGCATAAAAGAAAAGAAATTCGAAGAAATCGATAATGGAATTTGTTACGTGCGTTTGACCTTTATTGCTGCCGAAGGCAGCACACTATTCTTGACATGAAGTATTGCGTGCCTGCGTTTACTTGTGCCCAGTCTCTTTGGCCGAGTTATGTATAGTCGATCGAGATTTCGATTTGAGAATTTGTGTCTGTCTGTTTGTAAAGATGTCGTAATTCCGGGGAAATAATTAAGGCTTCACGAAATTTTTTTAAACGAGGGGGGTGGTCAAAATTTATTTTGTATTGCGCTCGCATGATACACTGGCATGTTGGATTTTCACAAATCGACAATATTTTGAATAATTCAGGTAAGAATATAGCTTTATTTCTTTCTGGTGGTATTATATGAAGGCATTTATATTTAGATCTGCTGTTAAAAGTGTTCGATATGAGGTATTTGAAACAATAATCAATATTTATTCATTATTGGTTTATTTGTTTGTGTGCATGGCGATGAGTTTATAGTATTCAAATGTTCATTCTAGATGTACATAGATATAGCAAATTATGTGCTTTCACCACGTTTTAAAAACAAACGCGGAATGTTGTGTATGCTTTTAATAAATGTAAAGATATTTCATATTCCTATAGCAACACATGTAGTTAATCCAGTGACCAGTGTGGATTGTTATGTGCAAATATTAGCTAACTTTAATACCAGCAGTTACATGTAATATAACATGTCAACCGCCTTTTGTACGAGGTATGACGGTCTGTAAAAATATATTCTCTCAGATATGTCCATTAATATTTGTTAGCATAATATGAAATAGTATCCTACCGGCTACCAACCTACATTCACATATTCACCTGGCTGCATACATGTGTGATGTGTTCAGGGTATTCAATATTTTTTGATAATGCTCACAATTTCTTTCTTATTATATAGTTTTGCTGTTATGACTGAGTACAATCTTAGTCATTTATACAATGAACGGTGTCATCATCTGAAGCTGACATATTAAACAGAAATGTCAACAAATAGATTTTGTCTCCCCATTGATCAGCAGATTGTTCAGTTGTTCTGTGAACATACTAAAACTGTCTGCACCAGTGTGGGTGGTACCAATGTGACTGACTTGCTGTGCTGAGTGGTTATATTACTACCTGAAAAGAACAAGCAGAAACTCAACGTTTCGAGCGAAGGCCCTTCATCAAGAGTTAGTAGCCGCATGAACACGTCAAGAGTTATATAGTAGCCACATGAACTCTGCAGGCATCTTGGGTTTCTTGCCTGCAAGAAATTCTGCCCGATAATTTAAAGGCGATGCTTGCAGAGGAGGCTAATTAAATTCTACATCTACATCTCCAATGATTCATTCAAGTATTATTATTGTTATATGATATTGAATTTTCTGTGTTGGTGTTATGTACTCAGGTGAATATATAATGTTTGTGATGTTACTCTAAGTGTAATTTTTCAAGCTTGCCCGGTGTGGATATACACTCAGAGCAACATCACAAACATCATTCACCTGAGTACATTACACCAACACAGAAAATTCGTGACTATTAGATTGCATTGATATCGAAGGAACTAGACTCAGTTCCGAAATATCACATACTCGAACTGACCTGACCGCGTAGCTCAGTTGGCAGAGCATTGGGCTAGTATGCCAAAGGTCATAGGTTCGATTCCCACCGTGGTCAGGCATATTTTCAAGCTTGCCCGGTGTGGATATACACTCGGGAGTAACATCACAAATATCATATATGATATTGCACAGTATTCAGTGGCAACTAGCCATGAACAGTGTCATCTGAAGCAGACATATTAATTAAACAGAAATGTCAACAAATAGATTTTGTCTCCCCATGAGCAGATTGTTCAGTTGTTCTGTGAACATTGTGCAACTGAGGTGTTTTGGTATTCAAAATACACTTTTCTGACATTCTGAACAGGCATCTTAGGGGCTGTTTACATGATGGAAAGTGGGATGATTTTGATGTATTTCAATCACTAGGTAATTAAATGAAAGTTCAAATGCTGGTTACAGAACTCAAATGTTGTCAGTTGTAGACCATGACTTATTTCAATACAACGAAATCGTCCCGCCTCATATCTCGTCCTGGCAAAGCGGGATCGTATAAACAGCCCCTTATTCAGAAAATTGCGCATGCTGCCTTGATCCCTTGGGGATGAGGCAGCACTTTCCTTGCGATAGTAACTTCTAGTATTAATTCTCGCCTTGACCGAGCTATTTTTAAAACTGTTGTTTATGTGAACTTGCAACCAATCAAAATCCTTCATGATGCTGATCAACCAATCAGATTTCCCGTCCACCAGGTGGACGGGAAATCCCACACTTTAGATAGGTTTTGTGTCAGGCCCTATTCTGTGATAGGGCCTGAACTTCAGGTTACAAGTGAGGTCAACTTATGCGCCGGCTGATCGCGGGCACCATGATTTTTCATTAATAGTTAGTTGCTTAAAATTTAAACTTGCTAAAAAGGCGTGTAACTGATGAATAAAATGTTTTGCTGATGAGCAATGATGAGTGTTGTTACTGTTGTATCACAAGTTAACCTCACTCACTCAGCAGTGGCGGAAACTTTGCGAAATTTTTTTTTTTGGAGGGGGGCGAGTGCCGAAGGCACAAGATTTATAGGGGGGGGGGGGTCTGGGGACATGCCCACCCAGAAAATGTTTAAAATTTGGATCCCTGAAATGGCATTTGTAGCATTCTGAGAGCACATTTTGTAAGAAATTCCAGGTTTTCAAAACATTAGTTAATGGTGCATTCTGGTATAAATCATGTGCTAAGCATAAAAAAACGACGTTTCAGAGAAAATATTGTACACGATTTCAAAAAATACATTTGTGAATATAATGGAATTGCAAGGTGGTTTAAGTTAATTAATAACCAATGACAATGTAAAATTTATTTGCTAAGGGCGTGACCTCGGAAACGTTAAATCAAAATCCGCAGTCCTACTACCTTATATGGTAATAATGAGATTTTTATTGCACAAACGACACCATAGCAACGTCAATCGACCGATCGTGACTAAAACACCACACGAGTACATACGAGTAACATACGAGTAACACACAAGTACATACGAGTAACATACGAGTACATACGAGTACATACGAGTAACATACGAGTACATACGAGTAACACACGAGCAACATACAAGTACACACGAGTAACATACGAGTACACACGAGTAACATACGAGTAAATACGAGTACATACGAGTACATACGAGTAAAATACGAGTACAATATGAGTAAAATACGAGAATTAGCACGCTTTCTTTAAAGTTTCTTTCACTTTCACACTTTCACTTTGGCTTCGTATTATGTTCATGTTGTAAATGCCTTATTGACATAGGCGTACGAGACAAGTGGGGGGGGGGGGGCAACTGCCCCCCAAAATTGTGGAAAACCAAGGAAATTCGGACAAACGCTAGGAAAAATCAAGAAAATTCGGGCAGATTTATGAGAAAATATGTTAAAATCAGGTTATTATTTCCTTACAATTCTCCATAAAAATTCAGGCAAACTTTCAAACCCCCCACCCCCAGAAAACATCAGCCCCGTTCTCCTATGCGTATTGATGGATTTCGAAGCCTCGCACGACGTAGAAAAAGTAATATATATATAGAATAAAGATTTGTATGTTCTAAGACTCTAAAAAGGTTTAAATGTAGTATATTGCTCACAGGCTGTCAGAGAGCTTTTGTAGTACATGAAAGTGCATGTTTGCCATGTTGTTTATACGTCTGTAGTCTATGTGTTTTGCAAATTTAATACGTCAATTGTACACCGGGAAATATAAAATACTTAGAGTTCATTATTTATCGGTTGGGGAGGGGGGAAGGAGCTGTTGGATTCTAAAATTCAAACAACATAATAAAAATGACCCTCCCTTTTAATGTGTTTAAAAATGTAGTCCACCCCTTTAGAACAGTCTGAAAATTTTTCACCCCCCTCCAACAATAAAGTTAAGAAGAACATAGTATGGCCGTATGGTAGTTCTTCCCATCCTATTCTTTTGTGTGCTCTTTACAACCAGGGGGGTAGAGAGGACCTTCAACTTGGGGATGCTGGACAGGATTTAGCGAACAGGGGGGGAGGGGGTGAAATAAAATCCAAATCCACAATATAATTGTGTATAATCTTGTCTAAGTAAGTAGATATGGCCCCAAGAAGAAAGGCTTTACTTTGGGGTTTTAAATGTAAAATATATTTACTTTCAATCATCATTCGGTTTTAAAAGTAATTCGCATTATTTTAACCCATCATTTTCCATCACGAAAAATCATGTCTTTTATGCATTATACAGTTTTCGGACTTATGCAAACTCACACCCCGAAAATGTAGGAAATCGCATTTCAGTGACCCTAGATTTCAAAATATTCTGGGGAGCATGCCCCCAGACCTCCACTAAAATGGCTCACACCTTTTGCGCTGGCTACGCCACTATCTCTATACTATCTTCTTTATATCAATGCTATAAAATGTTATTGTCTCCCCAAAACACTTCTTCAAAAGATTTAAACCACTCTTTTTATTTTACACCCATAAAATATATCCCCCCATTATTTTACCAGCCCCCGCCCCCCAACCGATAAATAATGAACCCTAAGTATTTTATATTTCCCTGTTGAAAACGTATTAACAGGTGTACAATTGACGTATTAAATTTGCAAAACACATAGGAGAACGGGGCTGATGTTTTCTGGGGGGGGGGGGTAGTTGAAAGTTCGCCCGAATTTTTATGGAGAATTTTAAAGAAATAACCTGATTTTAACATATTTTCTCATAAATCTGCCCGAATTTTCTTGATTTTTCCTAGCGTTTGCCCGAATTTCCATGGTTTTCCAAAATTTTGGGGGGCAGTTGCCCCCCCCTCCCCGGCCCCCTGTCTCGTACGCCTATGTCAATAAGGCATTTACAACATGAGCATAATACGAAGCCAAAGTGAAAGTGTGAAAGTGAAAGAAACTTTAAAGAAAGCGTGCTAATTCTCGTATTTTACTCGTATTTTACTCGTATGTACTCGTATTTACTCGTATTTACTCGTATGTTACTCGTGTGTACTCGTATGTTACTCGTGTGTTACTCGTATGTACTCGTATGTTACTCGTATGTACTCGTATGTTACTCGTATGTATTCGTATGTTACTCGTATGTACTCGTATGTACTTGTGTGTTACTCGTATGTTACTCGTATGTACTCGTGTGGTGTTTTAGTCACGATCCAATCGACCTGCCTAGAAGCGTTATCACACACTACTGTTGCAACGACTGCGGTAACCTGAACTTGCAGTACGTAATACTAATATTTAAACCAGAGAAGTGAAAGAACACCCTGAAAATTCCTACCTATAGATACTGTATAGTCCGTTGTAAATTTGATACAATTAATTGCTATTGTTTTATGAACACTCGGAAGATACTCTATATGATATATGCATGTATATCATAAATTTACAGCCTATATACTGACGTAACTGGACACGATTATGGTTACAACATATGATAGATTCCTGTTTCAGAAAATTGTCACTGCGTGCTGATTTTTTAGTTACGTCCCTCAAATTTGGTACATGCAATGACAACTAACTGTAGAAGCCACCGTTTTAGCCAAAATTCACCACCTTTTAACCTGTAGTCGCAAAACTAATTTAATTTGACTTTTTTCAGAATTCATAACGCTCATTGTGTGACTTGTCAGATTATAAATTTAGAATACTTTAGCTTGTTTTTAGCTTGTTTTTATTAAAACTTGCCATTTCGTTGAAGTTGTTATTGTAACAAATAGTGCTTCCTTATATTGTGCTTTCATTTTTCAAATTGAAATCTAGCTAAACATAATTCTAGTAAAATGTTTGGGGGAGCGATTGCCCCCCACCCTCGCCCCCCTAGTTTCCGTCACTTGTAACCACCATTTAGCTATACTATTACAACCAGGAACACAAATTTCTCGAGTCCCTAAAGAATTATAGAGGCCAATCCAATCACCAGGCGATTATTAATACTCAAAGTCTCGCTTAAACATTTGATGCGCGCCAACCACCAAAGCTGAAAACTTGTGCGCCAACCTCGACGTGATTGTGCGCCAGCAATTCAAAACTCATGCCGAAGATCTTCCGCAAAACGTGCATGGAATGCACCCTGGCCATCATAACCTATGCCAAGCATCCAAACATGAGTGTTCCCACCTACATGCACATACAGTGTGTGAAGTAAAATATTATATACAATTTAACAAAAAAAGTTGAAGTCTGCTTGAGGGGGTTCTGGAAACAAACAATACACTGTATGTGCATGACGATCAAGTGTTTAAAGGGTAAATAAGCTCAATATTCATGACTTTTTCCATCCATTGTCTATTTCGAAGCCACTGGGGTATTATTAAATTCATGACACAACTATAATACATGACCACATGTTCACATCATATGCAATTGCAAACAATTTTCAAAGAAGTAGGGTACAGAATTGCAATATAACAACATGTAAGTAAATTATACAAGTCATGAACTTACCAGTTTGTGTTGAGTTAAATTTAAACATTTTTATGACATCAAATATTATTTATTTATTTGCAAATCAAAACATTTTAAAATTCTCGTGTTTTGTTTTGTATTGCGCCCGCGCTATATTAATGGTATTAACCGCTGTGAATATGATATACATTTTTAATACATTACATTTGCGCTTAAAAGTTCAGGAAGTGCTACATTCATTATTCAATTTATTTGCAGCAATTAGCCTTCTATAAGCCATACAAACGATTATAGCTTATAGCCCACCTTGCCTTTAACATTGATCCTATATATAATGAATTAACATAGCTAACTTGATTATGTTGCTAGTCAAGTATGGGACCTATGGGTCTTCTAGATTCTAGAGTAGCACAATTAATATAAATTCTCCGTAAGGCGGTAATATTAATTAAGACTGTTCTTATTTATGCATGACCTTTGACTATTAAGTGGCCAGAAATTGTGCCTACAGTAATCAACTTATTCCACTATCCAGGTTGCATCACTTTTGATTGCAAAACACCCAGGTTTATTATACATGGATTTGCTAGCAAAATAGCAGCAATTGATGAACTTGGTGTTATACTAAGATTTACTGAATGTGTAAAGAAACAACGAAAAGTATATATCAATCAGAGTCATTATCTTGATCAATTTCCGATGGGATCTCCAAAGAAAGTAGCTACATCTGCGGACAACATGAAACTTCAGACTGCAGAAAATTTCACAATCTGTTATCAAACTTATGTCACAGAAGTGGTAAAGGACATATGTGACAACTGAATGGTACCTTTTGTAAATTTTTTTGGCCAGGGGTGGGTATTTATTTTTTAATTGATATTTGAGGTTGGGTAATCAGTTCTTTTTACTTTTTAATGGTTGGGTCAGCAAAATTTTTGCTACGAAAAACATTTCTCTTCGGTGCCACCCCCTGCCATAAATAATGACCGGTCCCTTAGTTGTTGAATTCGCAACGAAAAAATACAGATTTACTCACACATACAGTGGGAAAATGCAGTAGACAGATCGATTAGATGAAGGAAATCAGGTTTACATGAAATAAATGAAGTTTATTTTCTTTTTTTGCTCTTTTAAAATGAAGAAAAACACAACCCAAAAGTCACGGACCCATCACTTCCCACCATGAAAATATAAAAAATGTTTGGCCGCGCACGTAAGGGGACTGAGAATGACGCGCAAGAATAGCTTCAAAATCCGCAATCTTTGGCTTCACGTTTTGATTACGTCACTGACTGAAGTCAGCCTTCCATGTATATAGTTCACTGGTCACACACTACACGCGTAAAAACCACTGAGCTATACTAATTACTGGAGGACCTGCTCGGGCTGAAAAAGTGTCCGCAAAAACATGGCGGATCTTACGCCATTTCCATGACAACACTTACTTTATTTTCATAGTGATTGCCACTGACCAACCGCGATCCTAAGGTTTCGAAGATGTCCTTAACCCCCTGGTTTTTGCACAGATATATTTAATGATATAAAGATATTTCAAGTTTTCTGTTGTTTTTGAGCAAAAATCTTAATATTTCCCTCGCACATTACTTGTTTTACAACGCCGGTTTGCTTCGCTTGTGGATGCAGCACATTACTACAGAGAAACTAAAAAGAAAGACTATAAATTATAATTTCAGGTAAAATTCACGAAACTTTTGTATATTAAACTTTCTAGACGACTATCTAGTCTGAGACTCTGAGTCACTCAGTCCACTAGACCCTTCATATTATGTAAAAACTCATCATCCTATTAA